ATGCTCCTCTGAAACCCACGGGCTGGGCCGGTGCTCCACTGATCCCCACCAGGAATGACCCAACATCCACGCCAGGCGCGGCGTTCCCAGCACCACTCGGCTTCGCCGAGCTCACCCCAACTCCCTTCACTTCCAATTTCATATTTCTTCAGGTAGGATCTAGAAAGTGGCACTTCTGCACACCAGGCACTTCCCTCAAGGGAAATTCTTTTTTTTTAAAGATTAAATTATACGTACAAAATTCACCGTCTTCATCACGTTAAAGAGATGTTACGTACACGCCCACCGTTGTGCGATCGACCTCCAGTGCACTTTCCCCATCCCCTCTCCCCCTGCCCCGGACAGCCCCATTCTACTGTCTTTCTATAGGAATTTAACTCCTCTCCATATATGACTCATGGTTCTCCAAAGAAATAAAACCAACGAGCCACATCTAGACACACAGATTTGTTATGAGGGACTGGCTTGCACAATCATGGAGGCTGAGAAGTCCCAGGATCTGCTATCTGCAAGGTGGCACGGTCCAGCCCAAACACCCTGGCCTAAGCCCCAGGTCCGCTCTGAGGACCAAAGAGCTGGGAGCTCCGGAGCCCGAGGGCAGAAGACGACATCCCGGCTCCCGCACGCAGCGCATCCGCCCTCCACCACCTGTTTCTCCTACTTGGGCCCTCAGCAGATTGAAGGATGCCATCCACATTGGGGAGGCCCCTTTCTTTACGCAGCCTAATCTCCTCTAGAAACACCCTCGTACACACACCCAGAAATACTATTTTACCAACGAGCCAGTCAAGTTGACACATAAAATTACCCATCGTGCTAGGCATCTCACGTAAGTGAAATCATGTAGTATCTGTCCTCTTGTGACTGGTTTTTCTCTTAGGATAACATCTTCAAGGTCCATTCATGTCGCAGCTGTGTCAGAGTTGCCTTCCCTTTGAAGGAGTGAGTGCTCTGCTGTGTGCACACAACACTTCTGTTTATGCATTCATTCACCAAACACACACGGGCTGCTTCCACGTTTTGGCTGCTGTGAATAGCTCTGCCGTGAACGTGAGTGGACAAATACCTCGTTGAGACCTTGCTTTCCAACCTTTTAGGGTTCGGTCTTTTGAGTGCTTCCTGTTCTTGCCAGAAGCCTCTTCTGACGGAGCCGCTTCCCCATTGCGTCTTCCCCCAGGAGCTGGATTCGGCAACACTCAGATTCCATTCTCTAGAACATCTTCTAGAACGCCTGTGGCCACGCTCACTCTCCATCCCCTGACCCATTCATCAATGCTCCCCTCCCCCCAGAAACATGCTTTGGGAAAACTCGTGCAACACGTGGCCAGGTGATTAATCCCCAGTGTCCAGAGCTGCCAGAAGCAGAAAGAATCAGAAAATTAATGAAAACCTTGCTGCACACCGGCCATCTGGCACGGGGAGCGGGGCCAGGACGTGGGCAGCCTGAGAGGTGTGGAATGGTCTCAGACTGAACACCAGGAGAGGAGAGGAGAACACACACAGCACGCAGGCGCCCACACTGGTGCTCGCCGCCCGTGGGAGAGCTGAGTGGGTGGTACAGAAATCGGCCAGCTCAGACCCAACACGGGCCTGGAGGCCCCGCACTCCCGGAATCTCCTCATCCTGGCCCTCAGCTAATGTCCATCTGTCCTACACGGCACATCACCCCCTTACAAAGACGTGGCTCCTGCCCGCTCACAGCTCACCGACGTTTTTCACCGTTCTGTTCCTTCAGCCCCTTCCCGGGAGAACAGAACCCAAATCTCTCACATCTTTTCTAAGGAAGACTGGGGAGAAAAGGTTCATCACCCAAGCCACCGAGTTACATTCTTTCAGCCAGGATCGTGCTAGTCTTCTCCCAAGCGTCCTCTGCCTCCTGTGTACTTGTATGCATCTCCCCACGAAATAATTGTTTTGCTTTCTTTTCTTTTTATTAAATTATTGGGCATTTATAGAAAACAAAAAAAATAAGACATATGGTTGATTTTGTAGTTTAATTAATTATAGGAGAAATGCATGTGGAGAGCAGAAAAACTGAAACAGAAAAAAAAATAACTTTTTTCTGTTTAATAATTCCTCATAAACTCCAACCATCTGGCATATGAATCAAATTGTGTATGTTTAACAAAAATTAAAAATTGAGATATGTCTGTTTAAAACTTGATGTGAAAATTTTATCATTTGTTTTCATATACTCATTAAATAGTTTTTATTAGCTCGTAAATTGTCCTATAATTTTCTTTATTTGGATATTTTGAAATATTGACTTAAATTCTTCTAAAGGAAGCTCAGTCAATTTTCATTATTTATGCCTTTGGAGTTACGTTTCAAAAGGCCTTTCCTGTCTTTAAAATCATACCTTTCCTGTTTACTCATTATTTTTAATGATATTTATTTCTGATGAACTTGTGAATGAGCCTAATTTTTTCTCCCTAATAGGTTGATTGAATAATATATCCTTTCTTATTGATTAAAAAGGCAAACTTTAACGCAGAGTAAGTTGTTATTGACAAGTGGGCTGGACAAGATGTTATTGACAAGATGTGTCCTGTGGCTCTGTTATTACATGAGCAGTCCATTGCTCTGATCCTCGTCCACTTACGATGAGGTTTCATAGAATCATCAGTCGCCAGTGGCTGTGATTACTTCCAATAATTTTTTACCATTATCATTAATTTATATTCCTATCTTTTAGAAATATTTCATCAATTATTATAGAAACAAATTCTTTTCCTTAGTACTTTTATTTAAATAATTTATAAGTTTTGTTACATTAAAATAATGTTTCATAGTAAATGCTACATCATTTAAAGTTCCATAAATTTATTCATTAATTGGAGAAAGTCAACCTTCTTCAAATAATAAATACCCACCTTGTCTCCCTCTCTCCCGCCCTCCCTCGCTCTCTTCCTGAGCGGCTGCTGTGCCTGAGAAGTGAGCGGGATGGGGACGCACTCGCTGGAAATGCCTGAAGGCCTGTTGAAAGCAGCTCCGCTCTGGCTGAAGGCAAGACGCCTCTCTGGCTGGTCCAACTTCTCTGCCTCTCGTCTGGGCGAAAGGGTTTGCTCACACCAGACTCTGCCTCATCGATTAGAACCCCGCAGTGGGGCGGGGGGGAACGCCTGGCTGAACATCAAAGGTCGCTTTGCCTGACTGTAACATACGGCGGTGTTGCCCGGGGGTCCGCAAGCTTCCTCCCGTCCTGACGGCTGATGGGAAATTCAACCCTTCTGGACCCCTGGCCAAACTGTCTGCTGACCTCTGCATGGCCGAGGGTAAACTGTGCTTACTGTTTTTTAAGCTTCTCAGGTTCTTCCTTTTCTGGGAGTCTAAGACCTCCACCATTTGATATCTAGATACATTTTTTAATCTCTTGTTTCCTAGAATCTGCCTTTTCTTAAATTTTCTTTGAAGTACCAAGACAATACAATCTAAATTTTTCCAAAAGAAACTGCATTTCTAAGTTATGCTCTCTCGGGGCCGGCCGACTGGCTTGTTGGTTAAGAGCTTGCCCAAGAGCGCGAGCTCTGAGCAACAGGGTCGCCGGTTCGATTCCCACATGGGCCAGTGATGCTGCACCCGAGCTGAGCTGCCGCTGAGCTGCCAATGGGGGCAGGATGGCTCAGCTGGTGAGAGCACGTGCTCCTAACAACAAGGCTACCGGTTCAAAAGGTGGGCTACGCCCGCCCGCAACTGAAGACTGAACTCGGCACCCTGAGCTGAGCTGCCGCCCGGATGGATCAGGGGATAGAGCGTGCGCTCTTAACAACAAGGCTGCCGGTTCAACTCCCGCATGCGACTGTGGCTACGCCCACTTGCACTAACTGAACACAGCACCTTGAGCTGAGCGGCACGACTGGACTTGGAGCTGAGTTTGCTGCGCCCTCCACAACTAAGAGTGAAGGACAACAACTTGGCTTTTCCCCTTCCCTCAATTCCCCAATAAAATCTTTAAAATAAAAGTTATGCTCTCTCTCCTTCTTGGGGTCCACATTTTCATGCTTTCAATCACCCACACTATTTCGATTTTTACTCTTCCTTAAATGATGCATGAGCTCCCGAAGTTTGCAAGGTATTTTTACAAACAGAATGAACTGCATTTTTTTCCTTCTTTCCCTCAATTTCCTATTTGTACATGAATAGAATCTCTTTTTTGATCTCTTAGTTCTTAACCTTAAAGATTAGATGCCACTTGAAATATCCAGTTGCTTAGGAAAGTATAGAGCCAGACCCACAAATAATTTTATCAAGGAAGTGTAATACCATCAAAATGACATTTCTAAAAATATAAAATAAAACAGCGTTTGAAGTGCTGTCTGCTTGTGGGCCTGTGCCCGGTGGTAAGGTAACTCCTCCCCCTAACGCAGCAGGTGAACCATCACCATTGGTGGCCGCCCGCCCACTGCCTCCAGGGCGGGGTCTGGCGTGAGCAAATGGAAGAACCTAAAACACGGCAGAAATTCCATACCTGGGCCACCCCTGGCAGTTCAGGTCTGAAGGCAGCCCGAGCCCAGCCTAAGCCCAGCCCCGTTCCACCAGGCTCCCTCGAGGCCCTGACGACCACCGACGCAGCTGAGAGCCAGGTCCCTTCACCGCCGCCTGTGTCTCTGAACCCTTCGCCCAACCGTGTTCCCTAGGGACAACTACACTCTTCTACTCTCAGTCCCCTCGTTCCAGCTCTTGGGCTCCCGTGTCTTTTCTGTTCAGTTGACCGGAGCCCACTTGCTGGGAGCTGCATGGTGGGCCCGGTGGGTTCCGTCTAGGTCCGGGCTCTTCTGCTGTCCCTGCGTGGGCTTTGCAACCACTCAGGGCTCAGAAGCACCACGTGTCCTCAGACACTCACAGCTCCCTCTGAAATGCATCCTACGAACCCTCTTTGATGTCTTATTTAAAGAATAACTCTTCCAATATTCACATATACTGGCACAATAGTTAACACAGTAGCACAATAGTTTACAAATTGTGTGAGTTTGTCATCTTTTAAAGTGCAGGATTCTTACCAGGAATCAAGTTGCTCAGGTACCATCCACATAAAAAATACAGGCCCGAATCAAACAGTATCACCCAGCAAATCCAGCCAAACGCCATGCCCACGTGATCCGGAGACTCGTACATATTCCCCCACTGGACTCCTGGAAGGAAGGAAAGGTCAGTTAGAGCCTCGCGTGGCCCTTCGGCGCAGAGGTGGGCGGGCGAGGGCACCAGCTCCGAAAGCGCAAGCAAAGCTGACGGCAGCTGAAATGAAAGGAAGCTCAGTACCATTGGTCATAACTCTTCAAAGAGGATGCTGGCGTACTCAGCCTCAGATTCAGTTCAGCGATATCATTAACACTTCAGTATCTGCCATTCAGAATTGTTAAACGTTGTTTTACTTATTTAGGGAAAATAAGCATGTTATGAAAAAGATAAAGAGGGCTCTTTAAAAACCCAAACTCTAAATTATATTCTTCTCTCTGCTCTTGCAAGATATAGAAATGGGATATGTAAGATCTAAAGTGGGAAAGAATCAGTTTCTTGTAATACCTTTGCAATTTATTGCTGGATTAAAATAAAATTTAAGGAAAACATTCCTGTCTCAATTTTCCTACATACTAGCCTAAACCTCCATAAAATAAATGTTTGAACATCGTGTGCTTGTTGGAATTCAGCCCCAGATGTTCAGAGGCCTGAGCAGTGCCCATTTTTCTCCTATATCCTCATGATCCCATCTAGCTTAAGCAGCAGCTGAGGCACAAAGTGGGGATCACTCGGGGTTACCCGGCTGTCTCCGCACAGCTTCCGCATATGATTTACTGAAACGTCTGAGAACGCCAAGCCTAATGCCAGATCAATGGGCTAACATCACAGTATCTGGAGTTGAGTTTCACTTATTGCATATATTTTCCTGTGCTTACAGAAACACACCACAAAGCCACACAAACGTGTAAGAAATATGTCTGTCCTGTCTTAGGATGTTAGTGGTCAAATCTCATTATAAGTGGAAAATGCTGTCAATGAATTTTTTAAATATCACTTTAGATTGAATTAACAGGGATAAAACATATAGAAAACTGGAGGAGATAATTGCACTCTAAACTGGTTAAACCTATTTCTGGATCGTGGCTTTAAGGAAGGATCCAGAAAATCTGGAGGCAAAGATGACAGCTGGAAAATACATGAATGGTTGACATGTGAAAAAGAGTATTATAAAGAGAAACTAGAAAAAGTGGGCAGAAGGCCCAGGAAGACAGACGCCAGTGCAACAACACTCTGAGGCGTGGGACGTGTGCACAGCCCACTCCTGGGAGATTCATAAGGTCGCCGAGTTGACTGGGTTTGAGTCGGAGTGTGACAGGAAGACCCGAGCATTAGGGGCCGGCTGACCTGGACAGTGTCTGAAGCATGGATGCCACGGCTACTCCTGACTGTCCCTCAGACCTGAGTGGCTGGATGGTGGGAGGTTGTTTCCATCGCTGAGCCAAACACCAGGGTCTCATCCCAAATGTTCCGCTTGCAAAGAAGACTTTCTACTGTTACCACGCTCAACATGACAACTATCAATTTCCAAAAACCTGAGTCACTGAGAGTCACTTTTTAAATGCATGTTCTTACCTGCCTCTTGCCCTTCCAGGAAGGTAATGAAAAACACTCCTTGTCCAAAGGCGGTCGTGGAGAGGAGGCACTGCCCGCGGATTGATGGGGAGAGAGCAAAACGGCACGTTAGTGCTGGGTTGGGGCCAGGAAGCACACAGCACGAACTCAAGCCTAGAAGCTGTGCCGTGTTCCTGCTCTAACGACGGCAGACCACCGCTCCCGGCGGCGAGTTCACTGTCTAAGCCTGGGAGACGCAGCCGAATGTCAGCTCATTCGGAAACGCACGGTAACAAGCTAGTTTTTAATGCTAAAAGGAATTACTTCCCTTTACTGCAACGCTTGAAGTGTCATAAATCCAACGCACTGTATACAGAAATGTGTAACGCAGAACAGTGGGAAACGGAATAGAGCCATTTACTGCTTTTTATTACTGCGTGACTGCCCTGGAGCACTCACTGCAGTCAGATGGATGGCACGGTACACTGTTCTACGCCAGGAAGAGCCAGCGCTGAAGGAAAGCGTTACTCTGTTTCCACTGCGGAGGTCCTATGTCAGGAAAAACGCCTACTGAAAGTATCTTATATTTAAAAATATTATGCACCAGGGTTAGGTTGTTTTCCTTGGTGGAAAACACTTGGAACTTACGTGTAAAAAGGAACTCAAAGGGCATAGAAGCCTTCAATGTAAGGGCTGGAGGAGAAACAAAAATTACTGATGCCCTAAATAGTCCAGGTTGCTTTCATTACTCTGGAAATACTTAATTAACACTAACACAGAATTATGGGTTATGAATTATTACAGGTGTGACATAAGCTAATCAAGACTGATGGCACAAATCAATGGATAAAATGCTGACTGAAAGCGCCAGTGTGCATCACGCATGCGTGTCTGTGCTGTGCACATGGCTAGTAGAAGCCATGGAGGACTGAAGGGCTTATGGACATCGGGGAAAAATAATTCGGCTCTCACGGAAATATTCTGCCCTGAGGTTCAAAATGAGCAGAGAAGGAGACCCCTCCCAACAAGTGATGACACGCCAGGCTGCCACGGCGCTGCACGGGACTAAGTGACTTTGAAGGCCCTCAAATGCCCCTCAGCAGCCCTGGGATTCGGAGTGTCCTTGGTACCTTCCAAATCCTCCCTAGTGATGCCAACCGAACCTCCCAGCAGACTGCAGTCAGGAAGTCCCCTGAACTGCAAGCGGAAATAAAACTGTGGGCGTAACGCAAATGTCACAGCTGCAACCCGGCGCTGGGAACTGGCCATTTAATAATGGGCCCTTCACCCCTTCCATGGAGACTGAGCTCCGACTCCGTGCCCAGCACGCACCTGCCAGGCAGCAGTCAGGAGAGAACGAGCACCCTTCTGTCTCGTGCGCATTTTCCGTTGCAGACCTGGAAGTATTCTAACACTTCTCCAGGAGGCACATTGTAAATGGATGAATGGCTCTGACACTGCTAACGGAGAGGCCTTTCCACTTAATGTGATATATAATTCATGATGCTTCAAGGAAAATGCCTGTTTTTCACTTCTAAAATAGCTTTGGAAATCCATTTCTCTCCACGTGTGAAACAGAGTCCTATGCTTCCTTGAGGATGCGCCCCATTCCCAAAGTCTTGACGGGGGGTCCCGTCCCATGAACAGTGCCCGTCCTCAACGGGCTGCCCCCCAGAAACACCCCTGCAGTTTCAGTGGAGCACCCCTGTGAGGCTCACATCTGCGGGCACAGCAAAGGCAAGTAAGTATCGGGGGGCCCACGCAGAGTGGAAGCCATCCACGGAAACCTGAGGGCAGCGGTTTGGGCTTGTTGGGTAGGTGGCACTTCCGTTTCATTTTGCATTTCTGCACAACAACCCACTTACCAGGAGCGTCTGAATGGTGACACTTAATTGGTTGTGTAGAACCAACAGGATGATGTAGGGCAAAAAGCTGATCATATACACCAGGCAGGTACAGAGGGCGGCTGTGTTCGCTTGGCGGAAAAATGCACTCAGGAAGTAGCTCAGCATGACGACGGACACCCCGAAATCCAGGAGAAAGAGGAAAACGACGAAGGGGTTGCTGTAGGCGAAGATGCCGCTGGCGTTCAGGACCACGGCCAGCGCCGCGCTGCTGATGGTCACCACGGCCGCGTTCTCCAGGAACCAGGCCAGGAAGTGGGCCGCGGGGTGCACCCCCATCATCCTCAGGTACTGTCGGGAGGAGACCCCGCAGTTACCACCACAAGGCGCCCTGAGCCAGAAGGGCGCCTTTGGGGGAAGGGCTTACGGGATTTTTCCGGGACAGGGACCCAGCCGGGTCGTCCACGGGAACCGCGGCAGAGGGGAGGCTGGCACAGAGCCCCGCCCTCCCGTCTCCCAGGGGAGCCTGAAGCCTGGTACCTCTTCTATCTGGATCTCCCGCTCGTAAACCAGCTTCCGGACCATGCTGGCCACAGACACCATCCACGTCAGCATCATGATCAGGGGGAAAAAGAAGCCAACGTTGTTCAAGAACCTGGAAAAGAAGCAAGTCAGTCACATGTGAGGACATCGGAGCGGCTCCGGCGACAGTCAGGCTCCTAGCAAGCCTGGCACCCCCGCGCCTCCGGCATTTCAGGCGTGGCCCAGGGCGTCGGGGGTTCACGAGAGGGGCGTCACCTGGGGCCAGGTCGTGCGAGCTCCCTAGAGGAGTGATGGCATTTTTCACATCTGTCAGCCACCTGTTGTGCCTGGCACAGCAAGTGTGCATTAAGTGGTTTACTAATGAAGAAAGAACACCAACACTTTAATTCTTGGCAAAATGTGATAAATTTAAGTATGTAAATCATGCATCATGATGACAAAGAATGGGGGAATAGTCCCCCTCCCCCCAAAAAATGACGATTTAGAAGAGGGTACTGAGTTATAACTGTTTTCTCTGTTTTCTCAGCTCTTGATAGATCACCATTTGTTTATAAGACTAACAATAAAAACAGAAGCATATTAGATCAGGGATGTCGAAGTGACCTCCCCTCCCTACTGTCCGGAGAGCAGGACTCAAAGGAACAGGTTCCAGGTCCTTCCATGTGCTCACCTCACCCTGGAGCCCAGACAACGGCGCTGTTGATAAACTTCGCAACTAGGAAATCAAAGGCTCTTAATCTTTTAAGCCTGATAAAAGGATACTCTGATCTTCCTGACATATAATTGCCACCATCGCTTTTTCTGGAGGTGGCAAACCCCCCGACTCCCACTGTAGTGGCCGCCTGTATTAGCACCGTCACTGGGCCCAGAGGCAGAAAGTGATGAGCACGTTGATCAGAATCGCACACAAGAAGCAGCACACACAGAAATTAGCTTTCGTTTCTGTCACTCAAAGATGCACAACTTTGATCCAAGTAAAGGGTGGTGCTCAACTTGCACCCCCGCCACCCCCAGGCCCGCCTCTCCCCCCACCCCTACCACCCAGACCCTCATCCCAGGAAGACCCCGAGCACTGCAGGGGCAGCTGTGAAAGGGAAGGGCCACAGCTGTGTTACTTTCTCCGCGCCTCTCCCCTTTGCTGCTCAGGTGCCAGCAGGCTGAAGTCACGTGTCTGGGTCCACTGCCTTCCCAAACACAGCGACCGTTAGTGACTTGGATGGGGAGGGCGGCGGGGGAGGGATAAAGTAAGGGGCACTTCAGACTCCCGTTCGGCCTGAGTCCCAGCCGAGCCTGCGCGGAGCTGACCACAGGAGGGTGCACCCGGCCCTAACCAGGAGTGAAGCGGAGCTCGATGTCATTCTTTGCTTTGTCCCCGTCTGCTGACTCACTCGGGGGCCCTCGCGTGTGCACACCTCTCTAAACGGAGCATCACCACAACCACCGTCACGCCTGGGCTCCGCACACCAGCATGTGAATGAACGTAACACAGCGAGTGCTGCCCCAGAGGGCGCGGGCTGCCCCCCGGCGGCTCCGGCCTGCTCACACGGCCTTACAGTGTCCCCTTTTCACAAGCATGCTCACCACGGAGTGCCACAAGCTGGTGAGGTGGGCAGCTAGCAATTAGCTTCCCCATTGGGTGAGGAGCCTGACACTCAAAGCGTTGAAGGGAGAACACGCCCCAATTGGGCCACGGTGCACACTGATTACTCTGAATTAAAGATGCCTGAGAAACAGCTCAGGTAAGAACGCTCCGAGCCTCCTCGGCCCCCGACAGCAGGAAATAAACTCCCACGTGAACCGGGCAGAGGCGTCCTTGCCGCCAGACAGAGAACCAGGGTCGAGAAGGCTGCATAAACAAACCCTGTCACTTCTTCACCATTTTACTTTTTTAGCCCTGATCCCTCTGCCTTCTCAATTATCCACAAATTTAGTATTTCTCTGTCTGAAAGGTATTAAACCTTCCCACTATGAGCACTTCTTTCAGTCTCATATTTTATGGGGCTCCCATACATACGTAATTAAATTTGTTTTTCTCCTGTTAATCTGTCTTCTGCCAATTTAATTTTTAGAGAGACAAAGAACCCTAGAAGGGAAGAAGGAACAGTTTTCCACCCTCTGGAAGCAGTTCTCAACCTTCCTCATGTTGTGGTGACCCCCAACCATAAAATTTTTTTCATTGCTACTCTATAACTGTAATTTTGCTACTGTTATGAATCGTAATGTAAGTATCTTTTTGTTTTCCGATGTCTTAGGCGACCCCTGTGAAAGGGTCATTCGACCCCCAAAGGGGTCGCGACCCACAGGTTGAGAACCGCTGCTCTAGTGTCAAATCGCTGGCCCCAAAGCCATGTGACCAGCAAGCAGCAGACCGGAACCCAGATGCAGTGCTTTTGTCCGCTGCCTCCTAATCTCCTAATGCCAAGTCTGAGATTCTAAAGGGACCCCAGAAGCTTGACAGTGACCGTGACCTCAGCAGGTCCTACTGCCGCCAGACCCAGGATGCTGGCACAGCCGGCGGTGGGATGGTGACTCAGGCTGCTGGGTGCAGCAGACTCCTCGTGGAGAGGCCGCCTATGTCTCCGCGGGCAGCCGGCGCGTGCAGGCACTGGGCTCAGCTCAGGCCTGCCTCCCGTCCCACTCACTAGAGTTTGGAATACATGTATCTCCCGTGTTACGCAGCGAGTCTCGAAACCTCAAGAGCTGCATGGCGCTTACCTCTGCATGTCTCTCAGAACCTAGAAAATCGCACATCATATGGTGGGCATGAAAAAAAAATGCTACTGGATGGATGGATGGATAAGGATAAATACATGAGTGGAGGAAGGTTCTGGAATAATATATCAGAGGCAGACGTGCAGTGTTTCCAAAGGAGGGTGCCTGGGACTTTAGCTGAGACAGCCCATTGCACAGAACTGCCCCGCTGACTGCAAGTCAGTCCGCGTCCCTGGCCCTCAGGCACTAACCCTCCCCCGCGCCCACCGTGACCATCCTGCTCTGCTCAGTCTCACACGCCCCAGGGGAAGACCCTCTGCCAAGACCCTCTGCCCGACACTGAGCTCCTGTTAGGACAGAAGGAAACATGGCGGCGTTCACGTGCAAGGGGTGAGGTGACAGCTGAGGGACCGAGGGGTGCACGTGCTGTTTCCCACACACAGTGCCTGAAAGCAGTAAGCGGGGCTCACGGCTCACGGGGGAGGGGCATTAGGGCGGTGGGAGACTCTGGGGGAATGCCTTGGCTTGTCTGAACCTCACTTTCCAGAGCTGTATTTATCGTCTAAAGTTCTCAGGGGATAAATGAGATGATGATTTTCAGAATGTGACAGTTTTAAGAGACACACTATTTTGCTGCTTTTGATGAAAAAGAACATGGAGACATCGGATAAACCGTTACCTGACATTCTAACCAACACCGCCCTCCTCTGCCCAGCACGGAGATGAGCCCAGAAGAGCTTCGTGGGGCAGGAGAAAGCGGAGGATTGTAAATCTGTGCATCTGTTTCTTCTACTTCCGCCCATAGTTGGTGTCACCAACCAATTACGGACCTTCCAGCCCCTCCTGATGGGACAGCACAGGGTCTGGGGCCTTCCAACAGCTCTGAGCTCCGAGGGCAGTCAGGGATGAAACGTCGGCAGGAAACAATAGCTACTGACTAAGTAGAAGGGAGAGGCGTTTAGTAAGTTCACTTGAAGTAAATCCCAAGGAAGAGAAACAACACCAATGTGTAAAATAAGAGGCGCTCTCGCAGACGTATTGTGGATCAAGCTGATCTTTTTCTGAAAGCAGGAATCTGACATTTCAAGCATGAGTCCCTGTCAACCTTCGCTCTTGACTTCTCCCAGATAAATCGAAGTCCGGATGCCAGACACCCGGGAGCATCAACCCCCCACACACGCCCTCCCCTCCTCCTGGGCCCGCCCAGCTCCTGAGTCGAAGGCGCCGGAAAGCAGTGGAGGAAATAAGGGTGCCCTTTCAAAGAAATAGTCATTGTGTATATAAGACAATTATAGTTCATTATTGTTTTCCAATTCCTGAAAGCCTTTTTATTAAGAGGCCTTACCCTCTGAAGCAATATATTAACACTTGGAATTCCTTATATTCATGATGTACACCATAGTTCCAATCATAAAATTGTCCTGTGAGAACCACCATGAATCATGGGGCTGAAAGGAACATGAAATTTTATAGTCCCGCTCCCATCCAAGTCTGCAACCTCACAGCAACATTTCCCACTGCACACCCCTCAAAACATCAGCTCCATGGGCTGCTAACAGATATTAAATGAGAGAGACTGACAGAGACAGAGACAGAGGGAGGGAGGTCTGTTCAAAGATGAGAAACGCTTAGTTAAATCTTGTTGAGCAGAACGACAGGACACGGCTTCCCCTTACTGGACTACCCCCCATGGCACCCTATACTTACAAAAATTAGAAGTTAAAAGCAACCTCTTGTGCCCGCCTTCCCTACCAGCCACTGCCCATTTCTCTCCTCATTCAGAGGAACCCCTCGGCTCTGAGCTCAACCCCAGCCTGCTCCTGCAGTCTGTCCTGGGACCTCGCGAATCTGGCTGTCACCCCCTCCGTGGAGGCCACTCAGTGAGCTCCCCAAGGACTCACGTGTCCACCTACATGTGCTTCGCCCGTGAGCCACACAGGACACACCTCCTCTCCTGGAGCCACCTGCTCTGCGTGGCCACCAGGACGCCACCCTCTCGGTTTCCCACCTCCCGCCCTGACACTTTCTCGGTGCCCCTCACGGCAATGCCATCCCATCTCCAAGTTCTAAATCCCTTCTACATGGCGAGACTCCCAAAGTCATATGTCCTGCTGGTTCCCCTGCATCCTAAAGACACCTGCCCACTTGGTTTCATTACAGTCTCTTAAAGGCAATGAGACACGTTCCCCACAGAACCTCCATCTTATCCCCCAAACTCCTCCACCCACAGCTTTTCTGTCTTAAAGGTAATTCAAGAGACCCAGTTATTTGGACAAACAACCTGCTCTTCCTGTCTCGCCGTCACACCCTCATCAAATCTGTTGCCTCTCCCTTCCGAATGCAACTGGAATCTGACCACCCGTCACCACCTTGCTGCCGCCATTCTGGGCCAGGCCACCATCATCTCTCACCTGGTTCTCACCTCAGCCTCCTCAACGGTACGTCAGCGTCCACAGCTCCCCCCAAGGCCTTTCTCCACACAGCAGCCTGAGCACGCCTCTGACATCACACGTCACATGGTGTCAGTCCTGCTCAGAACCCTCAGACACCTCAGGTCACCTGCAGCCACACAGTCCCTGGGGGAGTCCCCTCCTGCATCTCCTACACTCCTGCTGTGTGTGCCCTCTCTCTGGTGACTCCAACAGACCAGGCCACCCCCTGGCACTGGCTGTTCCTCTGGCCTGGAGCTCGTTTATGTGTTTCTGTAACTCTTCAAGTCTTCGTTAAATGTGACTTCCGGGCCTGCTTACCCAACCACATTAGTAAGTCCTCCTGGCACTCCTGGCTCGTCCCTGCCCATGGCACTTACCCGCCAGCATCCAGTACAAAGTCCTGTAGATGCTGCCTCCCTGGGCTGTGTGTGCGGCAAGAACAGGGAGTCTACCAGCTCCCTGCACGGAGTCACCCCAGCTTAGAGCACAGAGCGTACATAAATATACATCGGCGTGAGAGGACAAACCTGTCACTGGTCCATAAGCAGTAGGGAGCCGCTAAAGGTTTTCAGACAAGTGTGCTTTCGAATGAACACCAGTGGCCGAGTGCCGGGTTCCTCTAAGATCTAAGGCTGTCAGCCACTTGCAGGCACACCAAGCCCTCAAGAAATACCTGCTTTTCCAAACTAGAACCAAAGGAAGGGTGAGCATATGACAAAGATTTAAATCGTTCAAAGAAGGAAGACACTTCTTCACCTTTCAAAGGAGTGAAGTAAATGCTTCTGAGGAGCTGTGCTGTGCTGTCCCCATGAGTGTCATTTAGTGACACCAGAGTCTCACAGGGTGTTTGGCCAACTCCAACTTGAGGCATGAATGTTTCTAACTCACAAGGGTAGGTAAACCCCACATCTCCATCTGTTTTAGTCTCCTTTCCGACCCTTTACAACACCTGTTGGCCAGGTACACAGTCAGGAGGGGTGGAGAAGCGGCCACGCAGGCCGCCTTGGACTTTCTGCCGAGCCGTCTGCAGGAGGACGCTGTTCTGCACGCCTTCCTGGGGACCGTGCTGTGAACCCCAGCTTCCTGCTGTGAAGAGCAGCAGAGGGCGTCCGCAGCTTCCCACCACACCAGCCCGGCCCCGTGTGCCACGGCTGAGGATCACAACACACTTCCGAGACAGAAGGAAGTTTTCAGGGTGGGATTTTCCCGAGATTCACCTAAGAACACAGCTCATAAAAACGTGACTTCTCCAAGGCCATTCGCTCTCACACGCCCTGGTATCTGCGTTGGTACGAGGTGTGTGTGGCGCCCTGGTAACACCTTGGCAACAACAGCTGTTTCCCTGACCTGCCTGCCCTTAGCACTACCACCTCCAAGAAAGAGTGAAAGGGCATTGTCTGAAATGTTCAAAGTCAAAGGTGTCATCACTTTGAAAGGAAAGAAAAGCCTTCATCTTACAAAGGGGGTTGAAGCTTACCAGCGACGTGCATGAGGCTACAGCGCCTGAGTTAAAATGGCCCCCGGTCCTGTTTTTCTGACCCTGCTCTCTCTGCCACACCACGGCACCCCAACATAAGTGCAGTAGGGTGGGTTCAGCCTTTTATCCCACCACAGTGGGCAACTTCCTCCTGCAACATCACCAACTTCCTCACCAAAAGTGTAGCCACGATTGGGCCGGCCGAGTGGCTCATTGGTCAAGAGCTGGCTTGGGACGCCAGCTCTGAGCAGCAGGGCCCCGGTTCAGGTCCCACATGAGGGCCAGTGACACTGCCCTCCACAGCTAAGATGCTGAACAACAGCTCGACCTGGAGCTGGGCTGCCGTGAGTCGCCAGCGACAGCATAGGCTGCAGCCCCTGCTGCAGTGGGTTGCCATGGGCTACCGTGTGTAGCCAGCAGCCAGTGTGAGCCACCGGCAGCTGGTGTGAGCTGCCAAGAGCCTCCATGAGTGGCCGTCCAGAGGCCAGAGACCGATTTGCCTCACCCGGGAAGAGCGCAATGATGGTACCAACTTGGGCCAGTGAAGCGACATCCTCCACAACTAGACTGAAGAACAAAAGGACAGCAACTTGTCTGTTCCCCTTCCCCAATTCCCCAGCGCTGTTCCCATCCCCCAATTCCCCAATAAAAATCTTTAAAAAAAAAAAAAAAGTGTAGCCACGAGCCCTGACGCACAAGGCAGGCACTGGACGGGAAGGCACTGCCCAGGGTCCCACTGCACGACCAGCGTCTGCTCTCATGACTAACAATCCCAGGGGCCCCTGCTTCCTCATGGGCTTTCCACCTGCCGCCTGCGCCCCCAGCGTGGGCGTGGGCAGGGATGCCCGTGGGGACAGCGCCCCTCAAGCTGACCCACATTCCGCAGCAGCCCAGCTCTCGGGCCCTTCACCTTCCAACCCCGCCCAGGGTCCAAGCCCCAGTGGACTGCACCCCCAGTTCACTCCTGGGGCCCCTGTCAGGCAGCCCCTGCCCTGACCCCTGCTCGAATGCCTCATCGACTCTCCTTTAAGTCCTGTCGCCAGCTGCTCCAGCCCCTAACTGACCTCCCCGTCTCCTACAGACCTCACACAACACAGAAATGGTCTCCTCTGGACCCCTGTGCAAAGCCTGCGGCCCTGGCCTCTGTGACTTAATCCCTCCCCCTCTGCTGCCGGCAACACACCTCTATTTTTCAAGGATTTATGCTGAAGAGGAGACAACCGTTTTCTGGTTCCCTAGTTCATGTAGGTGGAGCCGGGAGTCCGACATGCACAGCCCCGGGGACACTATGTCTCAAACTGATCTGAAGGGTATTTACAGCCGCCTGGGGTCGCGTTTAAAGCTCCAGTTGATCACATGATCTCAACCATTATCCTCCTATCTGGACAGCTCAGGCATATGGGAAACCTTAGGAAGCTGAGAAGGGGAATGGCGTTCCTCAGATGCTCTTTGGAAAGCGTACAGAGCGGCCCAGGACGCCCACCCGCACTCACAGGTCGCTGCGGTGACAGGGGTACGGGATGGCCTGTGCCTGCGCAGCCGGCTCCACGGCTTCCTGGCCCGTCTGCTCCAGGATGATGGCTCTTTCGATCATGTCTTGTAACGGAACGAAGACGTAGTTATATTTAAACCCATCGGCTGGTAGGCTCTGAGGATGGAACTTCCAAAAGGGGTTTTTCACCAAGTCGGTCCGCATGCTGTACAAGGCGCTGGTGCGGATGGTGTATGTCACGTGAGGCGGCAGCGGCAGCGACTCTGATCTGAAGTTCTCGTCGGCTAAGGAGCTGTTAAATATGACACCTAGCGGCAGAAGAAGGAAAGCAGGGCCGTGACGCCCGGGCACGGTTCACACTCTGCCCGCACGGCGTCCGTCCGGCTGCAAAGCCCGCGGACCAGAGGCGCGCTCAGCCCTCCGTCGCAGACGGGGCGGCGCCCAGGGAGGCAGGGCTGCTTCTCAGCATCACACAGATGGTTAGCGGTAAACAGAGCAAGGGCTCCTAGTCCCGGGCCCGTCTCTTTTTCATCTTAATAAAACCACACGGTGTCAGTAATGCAAAGAAATTGTTTGTTTTGCTTTTTTGCTGGACTTAAAAGATTACACAAGGTTGCTCAAATAATCAGACTTTCCTTCTTTTTACAGGTGCATTCCTAAGAATTAATATTCGGAAGATTACTTATCATTCAAAATGTACACAGGGTTCTGTATTCTACCATGCACAGTCTTTGAATTTTACATATAAAGCCTGTTATGGGTTGAATTATGTGCCCCAAAATTTGTATGTTGGAGCCCTAGATGAAGCACCCCAGTACTTCAGAATATGGCTTTTTGGTAACAGGGTCTTCGCAGAGGTGACTGAGTGAAAAGGGGTCACTGAGCTGGGCTCTAATGTGACCGGTACCCTTGTGAGAGGGGTAATCCGGGCGCAGAGGTGTTGAGAAGAGACATGGGAGACATGGGGTCTGCAAACCCCGAGAGGCCCCGTGGGGAACCAGCCCTGCCGACACCTTGATCTCTGGCTTCCACCCCAGACTGTGAGACAAGCTTCTGGTGTTTACGCTGCACAGTCTGGCTCTTTGTCACAGCAGCTCTAGAAAACTAATACAAAGCCAAAAAAATAATTCAACATTTATTCAAAACAAGTATGACAAAACGTCATATTTATCTTGAATAAGTGCTCAGTTAGTAGATGGAGTTGAATTGGGTGCTGTCCTGTCTCCCACCAACCCCAGGATATCAAGAAACTATGATGAAAATAAAAGTGATGGGGGAAATCAAAAGATAATTTATTCAGGAAAACTATAATTGGCTCTGTGAGATTTAACTATAAAACAACATCATAAGCTAGTAAAAACTGACGCAGTGAATGGCACTGGGCCGAGGACGGTGACAACAGCAGGAGTCGTCACGGGACAAGGCCCACCTTTCATCAACTCCGGGCTGTGAGTCTGCTGTAGTTTGTTTTATCTGGAAAAGACTCTTTTCTTTCTGGGCCATAACAGCAGTTTAGGGAGAAGTGGGCAGGTGACAACCGTGCCCCCGAGGGCCGCCGGTCACTGGACACTTACTGGCCAGGAAGCTGTTCTGCCGCATGAGCGCCTGTGCTTTCACCTCCAGGATGGCGGTTGACTCGAACGCCTGGAAGCGGTCCAGCCGCACGCACGAAGACAGGTTGGCCAAGACATGGCCCAGGAAGTGGAGGCGCCCGGCGCCCAGGTGGCTCAGCGTCCTGCCCAGCACCCTTCCTGAGGAGAGGGGACATAGCGGGACATGGCGACTGCCCTGGGCACAGGGCACACTGCCCCATGCACGTGACGTGCAGCCCAGTGCCCCATGAGATGTAACACTCCAGAGTCAAACTCTGTTCTTTGCAAAATTTGCTACTGACTTGCTGAGTGCCACCTCCGTGTTTTACATACGTTCCCGTAGCTGACACTTACACGTAAGTGAAAAGGAAGCAGTCAAATCAGAAGAGGCTGGTTTGCAGCCCCGGGAACGGGGCAGTGGGAGCCGGACAGTAAACAGGTCAAGTCCACAGCAGCTCGGGGGTTCCACGCCGGCAGTCCCTCCACCCGCCCACCCAGCCTCCCTCCTTAACAGACCCACAGAGATGCTTTTGCTCAAGACTTCATAAAGAAATAAAAGAATTAATCCAGAAGAAGTGAACATACGCGAAAACATGCCAACATGTTTTTACACACTCTCCACACACACAAAAACACAGCAAATCACAAAACTGTGTAGACAAAATTGCATGTGGGGCCGTTAGTCATCCGTGGTCACTCCCTCGGCTCCGGGGACCTGCCTATTCTAGTCCCCAAGAGCACGTGGACATCAGCTTCTGGCCACATCTCCCTCTGGAAAAGCTCCCATTGAGCAGATAGGGTACAGTGAGCCCCGCCCCCAGCCCCAAGTCTATCAGCTTGAACAGAACCATCAACTGGGAAACCCCAAGACAGAAAGAAATGGAAGCCTGGTGACAGTCCTCTGAGAAAGGGGACTTACTCCTACACACCCACGTACACCCACACTCACTTACACACTTACACCCACTCACTCACACACCCACTTACACCCACTCACTTACACACCCACTTACACCCACACTCACTCACACACCCACACTCACTCACACACCCACGCCCACTTACTGTATGTCTGTAGCTTTTCAGTCAGTTTGTCCACACTGATGTGCAACTGGCTTTCTACAAACTTTCTTATAAATTTGTTTCCCAGGGCTTTCTAAAGAAAAATAAAATCGTTTACCAAAAATAATGGCATTATTGTTCCTTATTGAACAATACTTGTTACATTTACTCACAGTTTCATTGTTATACAAGAAAAAGGTGCATAAAGTGAACCACTTTAAAAGAAGCAATATGTGATTAGGGCTTTGTCTTGAAACACAAAAGTAACCATTATGGCAATTTGGGGTCTAACTGTAACTGTGCACTAATATTGAAACAGAATGAAGCATGGGTTGACCTTCTGGCCAATTTCCTAACCCATGTGGCGACCCCTCATATGAGACCCTGCACGCTGCCTCACCTCAGGCCGGTCGGGAGGAGGGATCGTTGTTGCAGGAACACTCAGGAAAGGCGCCAGCGTCCCCCAAGCCCGCTCTCACTCCTTCAGTCTCATCGCCTCTGCAAGCTCCTGGCCCATCGTCCTGTCTGCACCGTCCTCCCATCGCTGACGGCCCCGCCTCCGCCTGCCTCGTCACCGGTTTTACTGCGGGGAGCCCTCCGGGATGACTCTCATCAGCGTAACGGGCTCCGTCTGTTAGTGTGCGCTCGCCATGCGTTCACCTGCCCTGTGCTGCCAGGTGCAGCCAGTACCCGAGAGGCCGAGAGGGAACAGCACGGAGGCACAGAGGCCAGCGCCAGGGTTATGGGGGGGCTTCTGCGTGGGCCTCACGTGGCCTAGTCAGGTCACTAGAGAATATATAGGTTGCACCCTCCTTGACGCTGCTTTACCGCACGACCTTGTAACTTGGCAACCTCGGAGGAGGAAGTCCCAAATACGCGCGTCATCCACTTCGGCTTTCACGTCCCACGTTCACAACATGTTGATGCATTTCACTCTGTCTGCAGGGGACAGGACTTCACAGTGACACCCTGGTGTGCCCTTTCTTTTCATCTCCTGTATCTTCTCTCACTGGACATTAGCCATCTGCCAGGCATTATGGGAGCCTCGGTACGTACCAGTCACTCAGTCTCAGCAACAGCTCCACAAGGAGAGTGCTGTCACTTTTAACTGACAAGGGAAGGAAGTCAGGGTCAGGGCACCCCCAGGGCACTAGGCTGACCCTCTAGGGGCAGAGCCGGGCCCCCAACACCATGGCAGCTACTGCAAATCCGAGACCTGCAGACTCTGCCTGAACGTGACCTGGACACCAACAAACAGCACAGCTCGCCGTGACGCTCTGTCCTCTGAGGTAAGATGTCCTTCGAGTGACTGGATGTGCCACTTGAATTTCCGACATGAGTACTTGGTGAACAGGACTCAGCAAACTTACAGCTTTCTCCAAGAGCCGGCCTGATTGGGGGTACAGAGGCAGGCGCCCCACATGTCCTCACAGGGCCCCGTAGAGCCTCCGTTTGTCACTCGTAACACCGCGTGTCATTATGTGCTGTGGCATCAGAGCCCCTATCAAAGCCTTCACTACTCACAACCCATTAAGGAAAAGCCCGCCTGATCCCCGTATTAGCAAACGAATGAAAGAACAATACACAAGGACTGGCCCTCATACAACTGGCCCTCCACAAGAACGGGCGTCACAGACGCCAACTACCTGCTGTGCCCTGAAGTCCCTCTCTGTCTGTCCTGGATCAACACCTGCCATGGTGGCTCCTGGCCCATGGCCACCCTGTCAGGGCTCCCCTGACACAGGCCAGGCCCGTGGACAAGCAACTTCACCTCGACGGCGAGACTGCGACCTGACGTCCTCCCGGTGTCCTCCCTCGGGGTCAGGCTTCATCGCAGTGTGAGGGCGCCCAGCCCTCCAGCCCGCCCCCCTCTGCTCTCACAGCTGGGTCCCACGATGGGACCTGCACGTGCTGGCCCGTCCCGGCATCACTTCCGGGAGGAGCCAGGCACAGAAGCACGGCCACGTGCTTTCCACCCCCTAACTCATCGAATACGCCTTTCCTAACTCCTCTCCCCACTTCACAGACGAGGCCCAAGGCACAGAGAAGTTCAGTGACCGGGCCCGGGACCCCCTGCGGTGGGGGGCGGGGCTGGGAATCAAGCCCACCCACGCGAGCTGGCTCCAGAGAACGCTCTCTGAGTCACCTGGGACTACTCATCTGGTGCGTAAGAAATAAGCCAACACGAATGGAAACGCAGGTGTGTTTTCCCACCATCAGACTTCAGGCGAGTGAGAGCTGCACCAACGCCCCAAGTTCTGATGTGACCTATCAGGATGTTAGGGAGTGATAATTGATCGTTCCAATAGACCCACACATGGAAAGTACATCAACCACCCAAAAAGGCATTAAGGTAATGTGGGATGTAAAGCATGCACAAACATTAATAAATTATCAATCCCTCCCACAGTGGCAGCATCTTTTGTGTGCAAAATACTTGGTCATATACGAAGTTTTCCCTCATGTCTAATGCTGCGTCATTACTAGTCCACTGGGAAGACCACGCCACGGGGACTGTAGACCCTCCAAAGGGCCGCTCGGACCTCGCAGACTTGCCATCACGTGCCCCCCACACACGTGACCACGGAGCCCCACTCACCTGCAGTTGGTTGAGCGCCTGGCCATTCCCGGTGCCCTGAATGGCGCTGGATACCTTCAGCAACGTTTCTGACAACGTCTTCAGTTTGTCCACAAAAAAGAAAGTGTAATTAGCCTGCAAAATAAAGCGCATTTGGTTATGCCTCTGTTTCAGCTAGAACCCTCTTCAGCGCCATAGTAGCTACATGGACGTAAACGTGAAGCGACCGGCCGTCACAGCAAAGACCTGCCATGGCCGCCTGCAGGCTGGCCGACACCCCCAGACATGGTGCCCCGCCCCAATGCCCTCGTGTCTGAGGCGTGTCCTCGAGCCCTCTCTTCTAGACTCTCCATCCAGGTGTCCCCCACCTGCCCCCACCTGCCCCCCACCTGTCCACCAGTGTCCCCAGTGTTTACCTCACTGTCCAGAACACACTGGCCAAATAAAACAGTGTTTCCCACATTTCCTCCCCAAACCATGTCCTCAGCTACTATCTCTGCGTTTGTCTGACGACAGCCGGCACTGCGAGGCCAGAGGAAGGCTGGCTGTGTGTACTCACGAACTGCTGCTGGCAGAGTCAATTAGCGTAAGGTTTTTATAAAATAATTTCGTATCATAAAAGTATGCATAGTCACTGACCCACAAAAATGCTCATGCCTTTTTCTCTCAAGATAAAAAAAAAATCAATGTTTAGGAAGTAATTTAAATGAAACATAAAGCTATACCCGTGGAGATGTCTATTGTGACACTATTTTTATACTGAAAATATTCTAAATGCCAGAGAGAAAACATTCAAGAGGGTTGGGGAGTCCAGCCACATCTTCTGGGGCCACTAGGAGCCCCTCATCCCGGCACAGGTCACACCGGGCGGGGGCTGAAAGCAGCCACCACAGTGAGGGGAGGACGCCCTGCCATCGGTCCTGCGGGGCGGGAGCTGGGCGCCCAGGTGTCACTGCCGTCCCTCCCTGCGCCTGCGCCTGCGCATGGCCCCCGTCCACTTGGCTGCCACACGTCTGAACAATGAGGGGAGCTGCACAGGGTCCAAACTCCCCCCTCTGCCATCATGCAAAGCGGAGCGATCTGGACTTGCACAGCTTCCGTGCTGTGGGCCCCCCTGGGTAAGCGCCGTCCCCTATTTCTAGGGATGACAAAGCAGGGGAAATCCCAGTGGGCGCACGAGGCGATCCTTCTGGTAAAAGGTGAGGCCTCTGTGTGCATCAGAACACAGGCCTTTATCCAGATCTGATTTCATGAAAAACAGGAGACAGGGTAGAAAATATTGACATATTTTCAAGAAAAGTGAGAGAGAGTGGAGAACAAACCCGGACACTGTCCCTGCTGCTGGGGCCGAGCCACAAGACAGGGAAGGAAGAGGGAAGTGAGAGACATAGACAGATGCCAGAGAGCTAAGCCGGGGAGGGTTCAGACCCCAGAGGAAACAGGCTGAGAACCGAGTCGGCAGCCACAGAAGGAAGCTTATCACGCTGACAAACACCCCACACCTGCAAATTTAAACACCACTTTTTACAACAGGCAAAATTATTAAAAGAGACTGGTGCCTAACATTCCTTGTAAAATGTTTAATTCTACTTAAAAGAATGAACATGTAAGATCAAGGAGTACACAAGAAGCTACTTACGAAGTAACAAAAATTAAGTTTCAGGTGACTTCTCTGCAAAGGGAAGGTCAGCCAGCAATGGCGCAGAATCTACAGTTCTGAGGGGCAATGACACAAACCAGGAATTCCTCCGTCCAGCGAGCTATGGTACAAAGGTCATGACCTCAGATCTCCAAGGAGAGAGAAATCACACTACCTGAATACCCCTGAGAAAGTGACCTGAGACAACTGAGCAAACGTTAAACCGATATAATAAGAACAGTATTTCACAAGACAATCAAAATGGTGATGAGTCATGAAACCATTCAACTAGAGTTAATTTTTTTGTTTTTAGCTGAGCCATCCTGCCACCTGTTGGCAGCTCAGCAGCAGCTCAGCTCAGGCCAGGAATCAAACCACTGTTGCTCAGAGCTGGCACTCGAGCAACCAACTGAGCCACTGGGCCGGCCCTTAGAAAGTTAATTTTTAAAATGGTTAACAAAGATCTAAATTTAATCCAAATGCCAATAATAATTATTGAACAAAAGGTTATAAAAGTTATGATGTAAAATTATAATAAAAATTATAATAGAAAATTTATGATAAAATTATAAATAATTGTTTATAATTGCAAATGATGGCTGTTGATACAATGATAACGTGAAAGGCCCCCGGCCCCGTCAGTGAAAGACAGCAAGGGTCAGGGGTCAGGGAGGGCAGAGGCAAAGCGAGAGCTTGGAAAAGTTCTCATGTGAGAAACAATTAGCTCTCAGCGCTGATAACAGGGGAGAGAATAAACAGGGTGTTAAAACCCACAAGGGGGAAAAATAGATTCCATAAAACAAATTCCTTTGGCAAAAGAGGAAAAAAGATCACAGAACAATTTCAAAACTATAAAGATGACAAAAGTAACAGTAAACTTGCCCATTATGACAATAACTTTGAATAGGAAAAAAGTCCTGGGCCGGCCGAGCGGCGCGATGGTTAAGAACTGGCTTGGGACGCCAGAGGGCCCCGGTTCGGATCCCACATATGAGGGCCAGTGACACTGCCCTCCCCCAAAAAAAAGTCCTAATTCAAAAGGCTAATATTTTCACACTCGTTTAGTAAAGTTAGTCAATAAATATTTACAGAGGGTCTGTGAGCCAGGCTCAGGGGTAGCTGCTGGAAATACAGCGACAAATGAAATAAAACTGTTTCCTTAAAAAAGATTACGTTCTATTGCAGAGACAAAACTAGCAAAGCCAACTGTGTTTTTATATTGGATCCAAAAAAGGTTTTAAAAATCAAGCCAAGCCAAAGAAGCTATAAATATTAATAGCAAACAAATTCGTGGCCGAAAGGATCAATGACACAGATTGTTTTATTATGAAAAAAGTCTACAACTCGCAATGGCTAGGACTTATGCACTCAGGGACATCATTAAAAGATATAAAGTAAATGCATCTACAGATAAGGAAAGGATTTGATAAGAATTGAATCTCAGGAGTCATTAGTACACTGTGCTTAGCCTTTGCACGAACAGGCAGAGAGGACTTAGGAAATCAAGTCGCCAACAAGGCCCCCTCTTTGGGGCTGAAACCCTGACTCTGCCCCTCGTTTGCTGCTAGGGTCTGTGGTCGCCAGAGCCTGCAGCTGGGGACAACCTGGAGTCACCCCCCAGCCAGTAAGAAACAAGGAGCAGACAGAACCAGTCTCAGGGGGGTGACAAGCAGATACACTCTGAACAAACGTGCACGTTAGTTAAAGAGGGGCCCTAGAGTCACCTTCTCCTGTCAGCCCAGTGAGAACACTCCCTGCGGAGCCTTAAGATGCTAAGGAGACACGCGAGGCGTGCAGAAGCCTAGTGCACCGCGCAAGCAGGCGTGGGGAGGGCCCCTCCACGTGCTCTGGGGGGGCGGGGCGGCGGCGGCCCCAAGCCGGGGAGCCTGCACAGCCAGTGCCTTCGACCCTGGGGGGCCACACCCCGTCTCCTCGAGCGCGCCCCGCTCCCTGGGGTGTCGGTGGGCCGTGCCCACTATCACCCTTCTCTCTGCAAACAGTCCCGCCCACGCCCCTCGCCCCTCGCGTCCACCCTGAGAGCCGGGAGGACCCCGGCACCGGAACAGGCCTCAGCCGAGCCCCTCTCAGCTTGGAGACACGGGTGGGGTTGTGCGTGTGACGACCCGTCAGCGCACCAGTGTCCGGGTGCCAGGCCGGGCACGCGCGGAACCTCGCGGCGAAGGCCACGCTGTGGGTACGAACTGCAGCGATGCGAGGTGGCTGTGCTGTCAACACAACCGATTAGGAGATCGATAAAAAGTGACAGCGCTGCAAATAGGGATACGCGCACACCATTACATGTATATTCTATGTATTCATAAATATATATATTTATATACAGCCAGTTACTGCAACTTAAATAGGTTAAAGTGTCCTAATCGATCCTAGATTCATACTCTCCCTTTTCAAATGCCAAACAGAAATGTATTAAAACAACGTGCTAGGGCACAAAGAAATTGCCAATAAAATCCCAAAATATATAAATTATTTAGGTGTGTCTTATAAGATTAGAAATGCTTAGGAAAAGTTTGCATAAACATTTCTGAAATTAAATGAAAAAATTTAAATATTATAAATAACTCAATTACAAGACATTATTTAGGAAATGATTATATAGGAAAAAATATTAAAGATATGAACTATAAATATATTGGGTATACTCAAAATTCAGACTCAAGTGTGTTTGTTATTAAATTACGAAGTGCAATTAATCAACAAAACTTTCACTCAATGTATCCATAAAATTATAATACAGCAAATCTGGGGAAAGCAGAACACAGAAATTAATAAATAAAAATTAAAAATAAATGATTTGGAGAAAAGGAAAAAAAACAAGTACATGAACTATTTCCCTAAACAAACGAAATACACAAATCTCAGCAAAGTCTAATTTTAAATTATTTAAGATTTATTAAAATATTAGGTAGCATCTAAATATTAATATTTGATATTAATTTAAAATTTCAAAACTGAAAACACTAATACTTAAATAATAAGGAAATACTTTAATAATATTAGAAAACAAAGCCACCAAATCTGAAAGTCCCTCTAACATATACAAAGAAATGTCTTAAAGCAAAAGGACGCCATCTCTGTGATCTTAGATTTGCAAATCTCAGTGAAATGGGTCTTTTACAAGAAAATGGCGAACTACCCGTGAGCTGGAGAAAGCCCTGGGGCGGGAACCCTGCTGCGATGACCAAGAACTTGCCACCTGCCCTCCTGCGTTTGCCATGGGATCAGACCAGCCCGAGTCTGCTGTGGTGACCGGCAGGTGACCAGCCACCGTCAGACAGGAAACAAGACCCGGGAAAATGGAGCGATCATTTCAAGGGAAGTGCAGGTGTGAAGGACGGGAAATGAGCCTTCAGACGAGCGCCCTCGACGCTCCTCCTGGAGAAACCATTGTGGCCTCTTCACCTGGGCTCGCCGTCCACGGGCAAAGCCCACGAGCCTCACAGAGAAGGCAGGAAGCCTCACTGACCCGACTACAAATCGCAGGCCGATTACGCCGTCATCGCCAGACCCGTCCTCCAAGTCTCCCGGCCACCTGGCGCGGTCCTCCCGTCTGTCTACCTGTCCTCACAGCCGTGCCTACTCCACCTGGCACCTCCTGCCTCCGTGTCCTCCGAGAGAAGGACTCTGCGCATCCAAGTTAAACAACGGGAACAGGGAAAAAACCCAGGCCACGGTGAACTGGAATCAACATGGGAAAACTTTGGGTCATCCAGTCTACGTCACAATTATATTAAGTATTTTGAAAGATTTCTTCCTGATGCAGAGCTTGTGTGGTCACTCAGATGCTCATTCGCTCAAACTTACCTTCCGAATGACCTTATTAATCCTCGGGGTGTTCGGTGTGTACAGTATTTTTCCATGAAGTATAGGTTTCAGGAAGGACCACACCAAAGCACCATTTGGAGACTGTAGAATTTCCTGATAAAGCTTCAGGCAAAATGGAGCTGTCACAGTTAAAAAAAAAAGTGTCACTCACAATACAGGGCGCTGGGGTAGCAGGGAAATTCACTTACATACCCTCAACGCCTCCCTTTCCAACTACTGATTGATATGTATTTTTTACGATACAGTTCTGCAGTTGGGCAGTAAATTCAGGAATAACTTTTCTTGACGCTGTATTAGTGGCTGTTGTCTCCTGAGAAACTTCAAGATACCATGTTCTCTTCAATAATTTGAAAGAACGTATGACCGCCACATTTTCAAACTAACTTATCAATAAGAGTACTAAATAATGGCAAAGACACCTGAAGATGAAAATAGTGATAAAAAAGGAACACATCTGGTTTTTAATCTAAAAAAATCTTCATTTCAACAATTCAGTATTGAGACCAGAATTGGGTTTTTCTTATGAAATTAGCTGTATAAACTGCTATGGGCTTTCTTTGCTGCACTACACAGAGCTACTGAACTTATCGTTTTGGTATATTAAATTGCTTTGTTTTCCCTCAGACACTCAGTTCCTCATGGTGGCTTTCATCATGGTTGAGGTGAGAGCTGGTTCAAGAGAAAGTTAACTCAACTGAACCACCAGGGACTTCGTGAAGGCACATTCTGGTCACCAGAACGACTAGTCGGATATACACCTAGTGGCGAGCACTCCATACAAATAGTTCTTTCAGCCCTCAGGAGGACATTCAAAATGCAAGCAGTATCTCAGCCTGATGCCCCGATGCCTAAGCCCCCGTATGAAGGGGACTGCTGTGGTTATTTCCACCGTTAATTTCTTCTTCCCAAATTCACCACTTGAAAAGAAAACTAGTTATTTTTATTCAAAAAGTAGCACAAAATCAATAGGAATAATCCCATAAAATATAAGTTAAGAGCATGACTCCCAATGAATTTTAAAGCGTTCATGATAGAGCTTGCTCTTAGTGATATTTTAACAACTTACACATTAAATTATAAACTTAATATTGACGGTCGCAATTTTGATTTCAGAAAAAACATAGAATATGTTTGTACAGCTGCATGCGGCGTTTACTGAAAAGGAAGGTCGAAGGTTAGAGCATGGGGCAGAGACTTGTTTCCCGGTGCGGACCCACCCTCTGCGCAGACAGAGTGCTCTCCCTAGAGCAGGGCTGATGATGAAAACGCAAACCAATCTAAGCAAACACGGATGACTGTTTCCTTACTTGAGTCTTCGGGAATGTTGAACTTTTCTTTGTCATCTCCCAAGAGTTCGTGAACTCTGGGCAAGTTAATAAACGCGTGAGAGTTGCTCAGGAAAGACTCCTGCTCCTTGCAAACCATCTTCATCACAGACTGGAAAGAACCAAAGGCTGTACTTCGGGCCTGGCCACTGCGGGATGCCTGAGAGCACATGAAAAACACACGTCAACAAGGCAGCAACTTGGGGGATGCCCCCCGACCTCTGAGCGTGGCCCTGCTCCCCTGAATGCACAGGACGCCCAGCAAGCACCAGGCTGGGGCTTTGTTTTTCTGTCCTTGGAATACAGTGCGAGTCACTGTAGCAAGTTCTCTGGGACACAGCTGGTTGGAGAAGAAAATGCCACTGTCACACATACAAACACACACACACACACACACCAGCAAACCCTTGTTGTTTGTCCAGAGATAATTAACCCATAAAATCTCACTAACTCAGACTAATTAACACTCTAATGCTTGTCTGCACTGCAGGCTGCCCAAGCACTTGACAGCTCTCCAAACCAGCCTCGAGCTGATGGGCCCACAACGCCCTGCCTCTGGGGCTGCTCTGAGGACTGACTCTGCCCCACCCCCTCCCGCAGCCCAGGGTCCACACGTCCCCTCACACCCCCTCTCCCGACACCCTCTCTCCCGTCAGGTCCACCCTAGGTAGACGGAGTTCAAGCAGAAACACGCACACCATCGCCAGCTTCATTCAAGGTTGTGCTTGTATTTGCAGAAATGACCTGTAACTTGTAAGCCAATTATTTATATGTAAATAAACGTCGTAAGGCTTTTGAAAGCAATTTACTCTCTGAATTAAGTTCAATAGAACCTCGTTTGTGCTAACAATGGATTTAGTGATTTCCAGCTTCACGGTCCACGCAACAAACGAACCCGCCAGCCGCCACGCGGTGGGTGCAGGTCAACGAAGCCCCTCGTGGGTTTTAGGGACATGCCAGGCCTTGCTCCTTGTCACGCTGCTGCCTCCAGAGCCCTCCAAAGGCATTCCTGCCCCTGAACTGAGCTGTCTCAGACGATGTGACTAGAGAGTGCAGGCCCAAGAACAGAGGCCCAGCACATCTGAACATAAACACACACCTGGTGGAAGCCGGGCGTGTCCAGCAAGGCAGGGATTTTCAACGTGTGGAGAAATTCGGGGAGGTGTTCCAGGACGCGGCCGGCTTTGGGGAGCAGGCGGCTGAGCCTGGAGACCACGTCCAGCAGGGAACTGAGCATGCCACTGGCCTCGGCTGGTATCAGAGCCTCAAAGGAAAAAGCACAGCACGAAATAAGCAACACCGTATTTTCCACTCCCTCACGTGTCCCTCGAGCCGAGAGAACGGGGCTGACTGTACTCTCTCGAGCTTGGGGACGTCACTGTTGGGCTATAGGGAGGCCCTCTTTACCAGGGTCCACATGGCTCAGTCTTGGAGCAGACCAAAGCGCACCAGCATTGTTACAACGTAAACCAGGAACAGATCTATCGTTAAAACTCAAAGCATTTTCAAAATCCTTCTTCCTATCTCTGAGGTCCCGGAGAGGACGTTTAAGAAGAGGCCAAAGGAAAAACGTTCTGACGTGTCAATCACTGTTCACGGACCGGCCGCTTCCCTCGGCCACAGCGGGCACTCACCAGCCGCCCTCCTGCCGCCCTGGGCTGGGTGAGGATGTGAAGCCTGGAGAGACCCACGGGCCGGGCATCCGGCTGCAGAAGAAGCAGGGCCCTTGGAGGCCCACTCGCTCCGTCACCACTGACACACTCGGTCCCTGACGTACTATATGCGCCTTACGTTCTGGGACGTAAGCTCCAGCAGGCAGCGTTCCTGCCCACTGCAGTCAGTTACGGAGCTACAGGCACCAGAGGGGTGCGGATATCACCTCCCTGAATGCGTGCCGCGCGAGTAGCAGCAGCAAGGGGCGTCCACCACGAGGACGGAGGGGCCGCAGCTGCCTCCTCCCTGGGCTGTCCTCGCACCGTGTGCGTTCAAGGCCCCAGTCTCAGGCCGAGGCCCAGCTGTCACCACTTCCTAGTCGTGCTCATCAGGGTTCTGTGCCTGCCACTTAGCTGCCAGCTCCAGGGTCACAGCCCCACCTTTCCCAGACGAGCTCTGCTAATGACCACACGGGCCATCAGTTAAGACAACAGAGATGACTCCACAGGAGGAATGGGGTGGCAACACCCTTGTCATGTCTGCCACTCGCCTCTCTAATTGCAGCTGCACTTGAGACGTGGCCCCAGCAACCCCGATGTTCAGGGGCAACGACTGCAATTGTCATGGCACTGACAGACCAGAGGACACTCCATGCCAGCACAGCAAACTGTGTCGTGCAGCAGGCTTTGCGAACTTATGGCCAGTGCAACAGGAAGTTCGCAGTCCTGGGAGCGAGCTGAGTCCAAGTGCACTGCCGTCTCTGAGAGGCCATGTGCTGGTCAGCTACCCAGGAGACAAGCCTCACGACGGTTCCTGGTAAACAGGAGCTGTCCTCACTAACAGACGTGTCATTTTCACTGTGTCTGGGAGCCTGCCTCCAGCCCAGTGTCTCCTTATCGTCATGGTCTCGTCAGAGTAACTATTGGGCCCCTCAGAAGCACAGCTCTAATGAGCGGTTCCCCAAGGGGTCGGCTCCCCAAGGGGCCTGCTCCCCAAAGAGCGTGTGCTGAGGCTGGAGCGCGGGCGTGTGGCAGACATGGAACTGCAGTGGTGTGCGTGTCAGCTGGGAGCACGGATTCCAGCAGGAGGGGGCGCCTTGCAGATCACGGGGACACTTAGGAAACGTCTGTCCTCCTGCTCACGGGTTTAAAACGCACTCAATCTGAAAATTCGTATCTGTTTTCAGTGCATGAGTGTGTGTGATCCAACATTTAACCACCAGACTCGTGGGGACCGTGAAGGACATTGGGCAGGGACGGCAACGCTGCCATTCCCGACCCCACGCCTGCTTCCCCAGGTCTGGAGCCGTCTTGCTAACCGCTGACCAGCCCAGATGCTGTCAAACATCTCTGGGGAGAAACCTACAGCAAGGCCAGTCCCTGAGGGTAGTTTCGGGAAACTTAAGTCACGATCTGGACAGTGGCTGCCAGAAGATGGAGAAGCTTCTGGAAGAGGCAGAGCCAAGAGCAGGGGCCAGGCTGGACACTGCCGTCTGCGAAGGGCTAGTTCGGGCCTGCCCGTGGGGCTGCCTGTCCTGGCCAGCCCCTGTCACCCCTTAGCCCATGTCCATATGGTCCTTAGGTTTCTCCAGCCCCCCCACCCTCACCCCACTCTGTGTGGTCATGGGGGGGCAGGTAATGAGCTGGTGCACACGGGGCGTAGGGCCTGCCCCGGGTGCCCCTCATCTGCACACCTTCTCCTGGGCAGGCACTGGCAGAGGTGGGCATGTCACCCTCACAGGACAGAGGCCGTGTGTCCCGGGACATAACAGGGGGCTGAGGCCAAGGAGAGGCAGCTGTGAGCGGCTGGCAGAACCCAGCTCCCCAGATGCACCCCAGGAAGGTGATCCTCAAAGAGAGGGGACCTGGCATAGGGCTTAGGTGACATTTTTCACTGTTAGTCCTTTTGTGTTGAGCATGTTGACTGATACCAATGCTGTGCCAAACGCCATGATGGGCCTGACTGCGATGACCCCCCAAAAGGTCTCCTGGATGCCCCTTGGTCCGCAGTCCCACCCCGGAGTCAGCACACAGGAGACACAGGGATTGGCCGAGGCGCCGCCATCTACGCCTGTCGCCCCGCTGCAGTTCCCTCACCTACCCACCCAAGGGCCCCCTGCAGACATCACACAGGCCACGCCCAGGGCCACCCCTTACTCTGTAAATGAAATTCCGCAGGTCCAGGTTCCGGCTCATGCACACGATCAGAGCGAACACTTCGGCCCCGGGCAGGCCACACAGCTCCTTCGCTGCCTTCCAAGATACTTCATCCCCAGGCAACACCAGCAGGAGACCAAGAACGTCCTGGGCACATCGCCCAGACAGAGCCACGGTGAGGGCACTCGAGAGAACCTGTGTCAAAGCACGAGGGTCAGACGTGACTACACCTGAGACGTGCAGCCCCCATTTCCCCAAAATGCTGAGGATTCAGCTGTTCAATTTCACACATTCTGAAGGAAAACATTTCTAAAACATGCACATAACTATCTGACTTTCAAGCCGTCCGCCCTTTCTGATGTGCGAGACCGACCATCCCGTGCCGCCCAGCCCGACCCCCACCCCACGGCTGCTCTCAGGTCTGGAGTGTTTGCGTCTCTTCCACGTTGAAGTCCCAGCCGCTGCGTTCGTCAGCTTTCACTCCTCGCTGTTCTCAGCGTTTCCATTCCCCAATTGAAAACCAGATTTCCAAGCTGTTATAATTTTTGAACAGAAAAAGCAAGTAAGTCCAGAGGGAGGGACTGAGGACAACCTGTGTGTGTCCAGTTTATTAGTGTCGCACAGCGCGGGGCAAGACCTGAGCTGCGTCTCTGTGTGGATACGACTTTCAGCTAACGATGTTTGTAATGAGACAAATTATAAAGCAACATAAAATTGTAAAAACACCTGAGACATGTGGCCTGTGAACGCTTACACTCTGACGGGCAGAACTGCCGTGAAATGTGCAGCCCAAGTCAGACCCTTGTGAACACAAGCTGTTGTTTGCTTATCAGGAGACTTGCAAACAAGCAGAACTCATCAGATGGTTTCAAATAATGTCATAAAATGCCAAAAAGTCATTAAGAAATAGAACAGGGTATCAGTCAGGGTTCTCCAGAGAAACAGAACTGACAGGACGTGCATATACAGATATAGAGATGTTTCTTCTCAGGAACTGGCTCACACTATTGTGGGGCCTCGCGAGCCCCACACCTGCCAGGGAGGTGGGCACACAGGAGACCCCGGGCAGAGCTGATGCTGCAGCTCAGGCCCCAAGGCCGTCTGGAGGCTGAACTCCCTCCTCTTCGGGGACCTCAGTCTTTTCTCTTCAGGCCTTCAACTGATTGGACAACGCCCACCCACATGATGGAGGGCAATCTGCTTTACTCAGAGTCCACTGATTTAAACGTTAATCTCATCTAAAAAGAAATGGAAAAAAAAAAAAACTGTCTCAAGGACATTTAGATTTGGTGTTTGACCAAATGTCTGGGTACTGTGGCCCAGACAAGTTGACATTTAAATTAAGCCTCACAAATGGCTGAGATTTCCTAATATGCTGAAGTACATTTTGAATCTTTGAGAGAAATGTGTTGTTTTCAGACCAAATAACCAAGAATCCCTTTCTTCACACGGGACTTCATGGCGCAGACACACTTTAGTGCCGCTGCTTTCAAACGTGCAGGGGAGGGTAGACGTCTTTGGGGGAACGGTTTGCAAAGAGCAGGCAGGAATGGAGGGGTGCAGACATCCACCCTTTGCTTTGATCAGTCCATTAAATATGAAGATTTCCTCGCAAGTGGAATTCATCCAGCCCACAGCTCAGGAGGGCTTCTCCTGGCTTTGTGTGGACACCGACCAGAACAAGCCACTAAGAGTCCGTTTGTGTCTGCTGTGCGGCCTTGGTCTCACTGCCGTCTGCACCTCCCCTGGCGGTCCCTCTTAGGATCGTATTCAACACATCTCTTAGAATCTAGTCCCCAGCAAAAATATTTCTCTTAAAAGCCATGTATACCTCCTTTAACCAAGAAGGGGGGTCCCACGCACCATCACACAGGAACCCCACAGTCACATGCACAGGCACACGAGGGCACAGCAGCCCCCGCAGTGTGTCTGCCTCCACTCCTCTCTGATCTCCCTACTTTACTCTTCATTTCTTTTCCATTTCACTGCGCCCATGTTTCCTGTTTGAAAGGCAGCTAACGCAGGTGGAAGCAGGTGGGGAACAAGAAAATGAAGATAGCACTCAGTTTTGTCGTGTTGGAATTATGCACGAATCCTTTTTAAAGTAAAGCAGGCATCTTTCGCTCAGGCTTTGCTCAGGCCGACAGAGTCGATTATCAGAAGCATGACGCCACGCTGTTGATGCTTCGCCTACGCGGCCATGTCTGGCTGGGGAAACAGGCAGGAGCCAGGAATCCAGGGTCGACAGCTCCCCGGAGGCGAGCCCGGCACGCACACGCACACACACGCACGCACACGCACACACACGCACGCACACACGCACACACTCTCAGACAATTACTTACTTGGGTTCACAGACTCCCTCTAAAAATGAAGATGGGCCCTAGGAGAGGTATTTGCATTTTTAGCAGGAGCTTGTTTACTGGGCATCTGCCGAGACCCTAATTGTGTTCAGAGCACTGCCAAGAAGATGGCATCCGCTTTGCCCAGCTGGTAATGTGAGACTCAGAAGGGCAGGGGGGCCTGTGAGGGGCTGCCGTCTCAACCTCACTGTGACCAGCATGGAGCCCTGACGGTGCTGTGGGAAGTGACGAGGCCGTATAGGTTTCCGAAGCAGAGAATGGGAGCGCAGGGCCGGTATTTAAACCCCCGTCAGAGAGCAGCGGCGTGGCTCTCTGCTCCCGCGAGCCGCTGGGCTCAGATCTGCTCCCACGAGGAGGGGGCGCGGACAGCGCAAGTGTGGGGCAGGCGGAAGCTCTGAGGAGCCTGTCTGGAAAAGACAGACGCCGCAGGGCAGAAAGACGGTGGGACAAGGTAGGAAGGGTCTAGAGCAGCGGTTCTCCACCTTTCTAATGCCGCGACCCCTTAATACCGTTCCTCATGTTGTGGTGACCCCCAACCATAAAATTATTTTCATTGCTACTCTGTAACTGTAATTTTGCTACTGTTATGAATCGTAATGTAAATATCTTTTTGTTTTCTGATAGTCTTAGGCGACCCCTGTGAAAGGGTCATTCAACCCCCAAAGGGGTCGCGACCCACAGGCTGAGAACCGCTGGTCTAGAGTAAGGTCAGCGGCAGCTGGACCCAGACTCCAGCTCTTACTATGTGACGTCTCTGAAGTTTCTCAGTGTCTGTAAGCCTCAGTTTCTTTGTCCCCACAACGGAGGTCATAAGACCCAAAAGGACCCCACAGGAAGAACTGAATGAGGTCATTGCATGAAGCTCTCGGCACAGGACAGTGCAGCTCACTGCCCAGCAGCCACCATTATCACCACCATCATCACCGCCGTCATCACCGCCGTCATCACCATCACCACCATTATCACCACCATTATCACCACCATCATCACCGCCGTCATCACCGCCGTCATCACCGCCATCACCACCACTATCACCACCATTATCACCACTGTCATCACCGCCATCATCACCACCACCATCACCTCTGTCACCACCACCATCACCACTACTATCACCACCACTATCACCACCATTATCACCACCGTCATCACCGCCGTCATCACCGCCGTCACTACCACTATCACCACCATTATCACCACCGTCATCACCACCGTCATCACTGCCATCATCACCACCATCACCACCGTCACCACCACTATCACTACCACTATCACCACCGTCATCACCGTCATCACTGCCATCACCGCCGTCATCACTACCGTCATCACCATCATCACCACCACTATCATCACCACTATCACCACCATTATCACCACCGTCATCACCGCTGTCATCACCACTATTACCATCAGCAGAAACAGTGTTGACTTACAGAAAATTTGAAGAAAGAGGATTAAGAATTAGGTGGGTTTACTGATTGAAAATTAGTAAATTTAAGAGAGAGAGGGAGAAGGTGAAGCCACTTAATCCCTTGCTTCCTTATTCCCAGGGAACAGTCTCTGCATTGGAGAGGGGCAAACAGCAAGATGCCTGCGGGCCACCCGCACCCACACTCAGCCCTGCACTGAGCGGGGACTCGGGCGCCCGGCTGGCCACAGGTCTGCAGGCTCGGCCACAGCTGCTGCCCGCCATTCTGTCTCCATTTCCATACCTGCTTCCTTTCATGGCTTCAGACTGGGTAACAGTCTGCCACCTACAGCATTTAAGAAGTCATACAGGAAATGAAAACTACTTCAGTTTTGTTTCTTAAAGTACATCAATCCTGGATGATTTCTGATCATGGGTTACCCATGAGCCCTTGAATAAACTGCCAGAAACCGTGTTGACAGGGTCACCATAAAGCAGCCCTGTCATTACAAAGTGACTTTCTTTGGACAGCAAAGTTACTGGGCTAAGAAATTACAAAGACCCCAGACAGACATGCTGTGGTGACTGAAGGGCCCGGACAAACGTGAAGAGCGTGGGTGGGACCTCCCAGGCCATGGTCATCCCTCTGCATTAATGACCTGTGGGAAAACACGGACGTCGCGCTCATCTCCTTGTTGGCCGACAGGCTGGGAGGGACAGTTTAATGGCACTTCCAAAAGTAGAATCAGGACTGGAAATGTCGCAGAGCAGCTCCCTCGCTGCGATCTATTGAAAGTCAGCCCTCGACACAAGGGTTTGTAAAAAAATAATAAATAAATAAATAAATAAATAAATAAATAAATAAATAAATAAATAAATAAGAGAAAAAAAATAAGAGGACTGGAAATATCTTGGAGGTTAGGCTAATCGCCAGAACTATAATACCAAGTACTTTCGCAGAGATCCTGAAACTGAGGTTCAGAAATATTTACCTAAGTGCAAATAGGAAAAGATGTCCCCCATCAGGTGTCCCCACCACCGAGATGTCACCTTTCTGTGCTTCTCAGAACCTCACACGTGTACGTACTGAGTGTGCTGCCCCAGAGAGCTCTCCCCTTAGAGCTCGGAGTCTGAGTCCCAGCTCTAAGCCCTGGGAGTCCCCTGACAGGAAGGAAGGTTCTAGGTGCAGGAGTGAATGAGGGGCTTGCAGCTTCCTCAGGGCCCTTGTGCCACTGAGAAGTGTTCCCTGCAGGCCGCCGACAGCTGGACAGAGGATCTGATGCGATGAACTCGCAATGACGGCAAGGACAGTGAACAAGCCCAGGCAGAAAGGTGTCGCAGAGTGGCCAGAATTGATACAGTTCTGCATGCTGTCCACTTGACATTCTAGAAGAAGCTAGCGCCCCAGAGTGGCTAACCGCGCACGAGTTCCTGAGCCAGGATCCGTAGACACGCGTGGGTCGGCGGACACGCTGCATTATCAAAGCCAGTGGCGTCATCATTTACTGGAATCGCAAGAATGCAACCTTGTCAGTACCCCTCTGCCCAGCTACAGAGGTGACCATGGCAGCTTGTGTGTCAAGGACATTGCACAGCCATCTACACGGCAGCGCCACCTTGTAACACACGCCTTGGCGGAGCACCGCCGCCTGTGGTAGAACGGCAGTGACACCTGGTGGCCGTATGCTTAATCAGGCAGCAGTATCAAACCCAAGATCATAAGGCTGAATTTTAAAACCTGACTCTTCACTGCACTGCTAGTAAGCTACTTAACTCAACTCAGTCCCCGCTCCACTGCCCTGTCACAAGTTCCTAAGGGTTTCAAAACGAGTCTGATCGCGTTGACATCTGAGACAGCAGGCCACCTGCTGCCCCGCCATCTCCACACACGTGTGTGTGTGTGTGCGCCACGAGCCGCCTGCGACAGCTGTCCCTCTACAGAAACTTGTGACGGCCGTCAACGACTGGGTGATTCCGCAACTTGAATTTTGGGTCCCTAGCTTCTAATCTACTTCTTTCTTAATACAGATGAATTCTTAATTAATTCATCTACTTGTCAAGGCTTGTATTCAGCCCCAATTAACCAGAATCAACATGTGTATTGCAGCCCAGCTGACTGTCAGCAAAAATGTCCACTTGAGAGCCACCTTCAGGGTTACTGCTTCTGGAAGGTCCTCTGTACAGGAAAGTAAACTCCAATTGGAGGTGATGAAAGAGTATTTCAGAAAAGTACCTGCTAAGGCTCCAGGTGCTCCAACATGAAATTCACCTGTCTCTATCCTCTGTGGACAAACTGTGCCAACCCTACCTTTATTTCAGCTGTCAATCACTCCTCTCGGCCACCTGAGACATCCCCGCCTGTCACTGCCACTGCTGTCACAGTAAACCCTACCACAGTACTCGGTCAGAGTGTTCACACTTACACTCTACCTGAAGGAAATCATAGCTGATGTTTAGGTATTTTTAGATATTCTGTTTTTGTATATTTTTGAGAATTTTACAACTCTTCCTTCACCAAGCAAGGCCCCCTTGGGATGTCCTGCATCAGAGCTGGAATCACTGGAATAAACATCATCACCAGTTGTTTTTTTTTCTAGCCCCAAATGAAGGCAATATTATAAAATTATAAGGACCCCAAGATTTTGGCATCAGACAATGACACCCTTTGGTTCCTCGGTCCTTGTCCCATTCCCTTTCTGCCTCCAGTGGTGTTGTTTGCACAGCGGCCCCCACGCCTGGCCCTGGGAGAGGACGGGGACACGGCCAGCGGCCCCCAGTGGCGAGGACCTGCCAGGTGAGCAGAGCAGACGCAGCAGCACTGTACCTGCGAGTGGGCGAGGCTGGCTTCTAAAATGCTGCTGACAGTGCCGTCTGAGAGGGGGATGGAAGACCGCAGCGCTTCCGTCAAGTCGGTGACGTTCTTCATCAAATCTTTTACTTTCACGTCTGAAAATCAGCGAGAAGGAAACTTTATAACAGTAAATGTTCAGGCTGTTACGACTGAAAACAAAATCTGACACTGACACGCGGCGAGGGTCATCTGTCTCCTGTGTCCAGCCCGTCATCAACACAGAGGAGGTCGCGTCGTGCCGTCCGGGAGGGACTGGCAGGACTCCCACGGAGAGGAAAGCAAAGCCCAGGCATGTGGTGCTTCAATCGCCTGCTCACTCTCCGAGGCCTGTGTATTTTAGGGTGTCCCCGAGAGCGAGGATTTCTTAGGGAACGGTGACCAGGCGCTGCCGGAAAGCCGCTCATCCCAGTACCTCCTTCTCGCCCTTTTGACAAGAGGAGGGCTACTTAAGGATTCGCCAGCTTTCTGGAGACCTGGTGTGTTCACGCGACAAGGAGCTGGTGAGCTGCACAGACTGAAGACAAGGCTTGTGGTGGCCGGTGGCTTGTCCAGGGCGAAACCCAGCCCACGGACCCTCCCTGCCTCCCGCTCCTGGTTTTGGTACCCAGGGCTCAGGACTGGCCTCCTTAACCCCGAATACGTCAGACCAGCCGAGTTCTAAATTATTACTAATCACAGCAGCGTTAACTTTTATACGTTTTATTTTGATAATATATTTGTGTGAGAAACTAAATCACATACTCACCCGCAGTTACAGTGAAATTGCTAAGAAAAGTCATCATCGGATTCCCAGAAAACAAAGTCTTTTCGAGGTTTTGGACCAACCTAAAATGGGAGAAAATTAAAGCTATGTTAGGCAGATGAAGCAGAGGACGCAGCACAGGAGGGACTACTGCTGCCTGGACATGAGCTGGACACCAAGCCGGCGTTTCCCTGAGGCCCTCGGGCACCGGACAGTGTCTGCCAAAGCTCCGTGTGGGGACGCCCGTTAGCACCTGACTCCGGTACCTGCTTCTTGGGGCCCCACCAGGCGGGACGCGGCGGGGGAGGACGGAGGCTTCACACATGGCTTCTCGTCAACGTGCAAAGAAAGGACAGAGCAGGTCCCGGAACGTCCGAGTAGTCAGGCGCCACCGAGTCCGGCGGGCAGTCCTCTCTGTGAGGGCGGCCCTGGCAGAGCACAGCGTGTCTGACCGCTCGGGGAGCAGACCCAGGTGCACCCAGCGGGGAGTAACTGGAAACCCCTTTGTGCTCACACACAGCCGATGGGTCTCACTTAGAGCTTGCGCCCCGATCTCCCCAAAGCTGGCCTTACAGTTAATGCTGCTCTCACACCTTACAGTTTAAAGTTTCAAAGTCATGGAAAACCCTGACACTGTTTAGAATATACACATATTAATAATTAATAAGTATATAATAATGTGGCACACGTCACTGTCTGAAATTCACAATTTAAAAATAAATGCAAGACATCCTCTTCAGGAGGCAAAACTGGAGAAGGTGCAGAGCAGGTGTGACATACGTGTGCACCTGCCGGGGGTCCCCGTCCAGGGCAGGCTCGCACGCACAGTCCCGGGTGCTGGCGGTTTCCAAGTGGCTCCTGAGGCGTTCCATGGCGCTGGCAAGCTTCCCGCTAAGACCCTCACAGTCTAGGGGACCGGGCGAGGACCAGATGTTCTCTATTTCCTAGAACACATCGTGATGATAGTTAGAAACACACACTTCTTGGTAGGAGCTCGAGGCTGATTTCCAGGGACCCAGGCGCCCTCACCGAGTGGCCCGTGCCTTGCGTGGCTCCGGCCCATTGTCCTCAGAACCGGCACAAATGAGGCCCGACTCACTCCGGGGGACACAGGCTGGAGGGAGCCCGCTCCCCGGGAAGGGCCTCTAGCTCATAAGCGGTGATGATTGCAAACTAAACCGGGTCTGCACATTCATAGCGTAACATCCTGCTCGGGAGGTCATTCTGAAATTCACCTGCACAACTTGGACACGTGGGGGTTGTGGGGAAGGAAAGTGCACCCCGTCCCCAGTAACAAGGATGCTGGAGGGGCAGTTCCAACGTGGACAAGCGGGGAGCAGGCAAGTGCACCCCGTGGCAAGGCAGCACGTCACCCCTTCTCTCACGGGACTGGGTCTGTCCTCGTCCAGGAACTGCTCAGGGAGCCACACGCAGCCCGCTCTGCAGACCGGTGCTGCCCCCGGAGGTCCCCGGGGTCCACAGGTCCGGACTGGCAGCAGGCAGGGTCCAGCCAGGACGCCCAGCCACGCTCGCTGACTGAGCTCATCCCAGAGGCCTTGGGACTCGCTGGGCACCTGTCGCTTTGGGAATGGGATTTCTGATCCTCATCCAGCTCCTGACAGGACCTCTGCTGTTCAGAGCGGCATGGACGAGGGTCAGGAGCTGACACCCGAGCTCTCCTCACAGCCATTCGGCCCGCTGAGACTTTCACTTCCAGGCCAGTCCCATGTTGACATGAGAACACTGTGTTTGAATATTTATTCAGATATTGAAAAGCTAAACTGGCATTGTGCCTGTTGCCTGCCTCCGGCGGGCAGACAGACCTCCCACCCAACAGCCCTGGAAAGATTTGTGTTAAAAGCTCATCCACTTGAAGACCTTGAACCACAGACTGATCCTAGATGCTCAGCATTCTGAGATAAGCCATTCTATTTCTGTCATGAAAGGCAGGAAGTTCCGTTTCTTATCAAAACTGACCTAACTGGTACCAGCCAGAATCGCAAATGACAAACAAATAACGATTTGAGCTACAAATACAGTCTCTGAGGCCATGGTTTTGAAAGCTAGAGGCTCTTACTGTTTTATTATTGCAAACTTCACTCAGCACTCAAAATTCTCTACCGGGGTTTTTTCATTTCTCCACATTTACTACCCAAGACCTGCCCAACCTGGAAACAAGAACCTGATGGTCCAAGTAAATCCACGTGCTGCTGGGGCTGCAAAGGCGACCCCTCTACAGCCCGGGGCTCCCTGGGCACACAGACCAGCCGCCCGGGGCCCGGCCGGGGACGCACAGCCTCCGTCCTGCTCCGTTTCCACGGAGGGGAGGCCGCCTGCCTATGGGCTTCGCCTTTCCCCCTCCTGCCTGTGAAACACTCGCATAGGATTAGGCGGAGTTACTAACACAAAAGCAACACCAAAAAAAACCTGGAACAAAGCAAGGTCTTCAGTCTGTCGCTGGAAAAGCACCGCTGGCCCCCGCTGCCCGAGCAGGCCAGGCGTGCTGGGGGCGCAGCGGCCTTCAATCCCAGGGCATGGGCAGCCCCAGCGGAAGTCCCACCTCTGCTCGGCTTTAGGTGGAGGCCCTGATGAGCACCTGTCCAAGTTAATCAAAAGGGCAGTGCCCCCCAGCTGCCCTCAGCTACGCTCTGCGCACCTCCCGTGAGCTCCCTCAGCCAGGGCCCATGGTGGGCTGGTACACGGTGAGCCACTCGCCCGCTGGGGAAAGGGTCTTATTTGTAGATTTGCCGGTTTGGAGGGTGTCCATGCTGCCACCATGGCCAATGATGTCACCAAACACAACGGGAGAGACACCCGATGCCACATGTGATGCTGCAGATGCGACAGATGCGAACAACCTCGGGAGGACGAGCAACCGCAGAGCTAAACTAGCTGAGAGGTGACGCGTCACCGAGAGTGCCCATCACCCAGTTTAATCCTATGTTCATACAGTTTGATGTTTAATGATGTCTGTGTGTAAGAACCCACTTGCAAAGTCCCTGAAAATTCAGCAGTCAGCTCTCACGAGTCGTGCTCATCAGCCCAGAGCACGTGTGGGACTCCCCGAGAGGGGGAGAGAGGACTCGTGTGCACCCTACTCCCACCTCACGGTGCCAGCACAGCTGCCCTGCTTGTGGGTCAGCGGAGGCGAGCGAGCAGACCCTGCACGGGCCACCGCAACCAACACAACATGCTCTGAACATGGGCAATGACACACCTGGTAGTGGTCCCGCACCGCAGCGACCCCGCGCAGGCCGGATACAAGGAGTCGCCTTATGCCACCGCGCGGGTAGCTCAGAGCAGCACACAGGACGTCCTGGGCCAGGGAAGGGTTTTCTGCCGGAGGAAACACACAGAGAGGTAACTAGTAAACCATGTCTTCCTGAGCACACTGCGCTCACAGTGTCGGCTCTTAAAGGTTCCAAATGACACAAATGCACAAAGATTTCTTAAATCATCAAGATGAACATTCGGACTATGAGGGGAAACCTGTGTCTTTTGAGCTCCAAGTGTAACTACTTGTTAGTTCTGGGCCCACCTGAACACACGGAGGTTACTAACCTTCCCCCAGCTCCCCAAACGGCCCCTCTCCCTGCACCCCTGGGGCGGAGCCCTCACCCCAGTCCTAGTTTGCACCCGCTGTCCGGGCAGTGCTGAGCAGGACCCTCTTTCACTCTCACGTGCCCACATGGAAGGATGGACGGTTATACCCACTCAGGTCCGAGGGCACCCATGCTGCCCGCCTGGCAGGCCCCGCCCACGATGCCCCCACCGGCACCCCTCTTGCCCGCCCCTCTCTCCCTGCTCTCTCACACCTCCCAGCAGGTCCCCCCCAGGGTGCTGCCCAGCGTCCTGCATGTCCCCTCCCAGCTCCCCTCCACTCCACCTTCCTCAGGAGCCCGGGGCTCTTCAAAAGGAAGGTGGCCGATGGGCCGGCCGAGTGGCTCAGTTGGTGAAGAGCTCGCTCAAGAGTGTGAGCTCTGAGCAACAGCGGTTCGAGTCCAGCCCGAGCTGAGTAGCCACTGAGCTGCCAACAGGTGGCGGGATGGCTCAGCTAAAAAAAAAAAAAAAAAAAAAAAAAAAAAAAAAAAAAAAAAGGGAAGGTGGCCGCTTAGGGGTCACACCCACAGCCTGCCGCAGCCACCTCCCCAGCTCAGGGCCTGTGCTCCTCGGTGTCCCCAGAGCCACCGCACCTCCTGACCCTGCCCTTCAGAGCTCAGCCTCATGACCCTGTGTCCCCCAGCTGCAGGGACCTGTGTGGGCTCATCACGTGAGCAGCCCCCCGCTGCACGCCCACTGCAGCCACACCATGGGGGGCTCTGCCAGTCACAGCCAGGGCCCACTTGTGGCTTTGCGCCTAGATGCTTGCTGAGTATTTCCACATTGTTCATTACAGAAAACAAATGTATCTTTATGAGTAAAACTTTTTTTCATTTAGAGAAAAATTTCAGTCCTGCTTCTTACATTATTACCCTGTTTCTCAAAAGGTATTGTAAAAACTGATTAGAACTTTATACAATGTACAGTACATAGAAAACCCACAGAGTCATGCTTCTGAGAAGCATACCACCCGAACGCCTCACTCATTTATATTTTCTCATTCGTCTCTCGATTTCTCTGATTTTAAAACTGAGCTCCTTATTGTAAAAAAATGTAAAGTGTGTCACTTAAGTAATCTCGTATTAAAAGGCAAAACGAAAGAAGTGATATATTATCAAACGTCCCAGCGCTGTCTCTGAGGACAAACAGGCCATTGTGTCTGGGAAAGGCGTCCTGATGTTTAGGACCCATGTCACCCGAACCCCAGAGCACAGAACGTGGCACTAACCAACGAGCATGTCGCGTGACTCAGGCACGGGCTACGGCCACCCTGCATCTCTCGGTGTCAAATGAGGAAGCGGACCGCCCGGTCAGCTCAGGGATGACCTAGTGGCTACGGAAAGACGTGCTGACCTGTGTCTGACACCGTCCTGCAGCCGCCCTCAAAGCCACCACCCTCAGGACAGAACAACATCGGGCCTCCTCCGCCCTCCACGCCTGGGGCCCCTCTGATACCTCATGTTGCTTCTGCAGAGCCGGCTCCATGCCCTGGCTCTGCCTACCTGCTACTGTCCCTCTTCGTGGCTTCTGGACACAGCGCACCCCTGCTCTGGCTTTCCAGCCCCACCTCTGCACCCCTCCCCTCTGCTCCTGCTGGCCCCGCAGACCCCATGGGGCTCCTCAGCAGGTCGGGCTCTGACTTCCGCACGCACTGCGAGGGGCCCTGGGCAAGTCGCCCGGTGTTCTGGCCTCAGCTGCGGGTGTGGGAACCAGGAGGGAGGTGGACGTCGGCGGCACTGAGGTCGCTTGTGGTTCTGCAAGCCGCTTCCCGCAGGCGTCGCTCACGGGCTGCCAGTACTAGACTGGCAGGCGACAAGGAGCGCTTTCCTCATAGTGACACCAAACTGAACTCTGTGACATGCAAGTAACCTCTTCCTTTTCAACAGTGACAGTAACCGAGCTGATGGCCTCTGTGCTGGAAGAGAAGCCACTGCCCAGGCTGGCCATTGCGCCCCAATCCCGCCTTTCCTGGGCCTGTCGCTGCCCTCCTGTTCTACAGGACGAAGTGAAAGTTTCCTAAGCAAAATGGGGTGACGGTTTACTGTTCCTCAGTCATGCCTGAGGGTGACATACTTGAGTTTTCTTGAAATGCAATGTAAAAATTCAAAACTAATTTTCCATTACTAATGTAATTTCAAGTATGCTATACTAATTTAGCAACTGCAATACGGGATGGCAAAATAAATATAAATTCAGGCATTAATGAATGTTTAATTCATTGAAAAGCCCTCACATTAACTGACTGAAATGTCAAACTAATTATGCCTCTGAAGGCGGCTGGCCTCAAAGTGTCACAGGAGCCTTCGGGAAGCCGGCGGAAGTGTGGGTCCCGCCCCGCCCAGCGCGCCTCCACCTGGGGACCCCGCGCCATCTGCTGTGCACTGGGCACCTAACCTTTACTGGGCAGTCCTGCCCATGTCCTGACATCTCCAGTCGGAAACAGAGGTTTTCTCTTTAAACCACCACATGGCAACTGGGCCTCATGACACCGATGCCATCTCCTGCCTCCCTCCGTTGCCCTCTGCTTTTTCATGTTTCTGAAACTGAATGATTAATCAATTCCTGGGTTTAAGAAACTTTGTGGAAAAAGAGGTGAGTGAACAGATTGGAACTAAGCCTGTGTTAGTCGCTAAGTTACCAATTTTCACTTGTGAAGCACCCTTTATAGGCTGAGGGTGAGGTTTCCGTACGGAGACCCACCCCCCACGTGCACTGTGACTGGGGAGGACCTACTGTGCGCACGGCCCACGGAGGCGCCTGTGCCCACCGCACCTGCATTTAATCCTCTCAGCTGCGCTTTGCAATAGGAGTCGTTCCCACTCTTTACCCAGAGCTCGGGGCTCTAAGCGAGCGCCAGCGTCACTCGGCGGGAGGGTGGCCGGGCAGAGCCGGCCGTGGACCCGGCCGTGTGACGCCGGAGCACCTGCGCCTGAATACACTCAGCAACAACGAGGCCCTGCTCAGGCGCGGTGCCGCGTGATTACAAGTGGCTGTCACCTTACAGGCCGGTGGCACTGCAGAGCCCGGCCGGCCCACAGGCCTGCGCCCCATCGGGGTCGTGTGGACGAGCCCACAGGGAGAGCCTGGCCTAGAGCCTTGCGTCATCCACGTGGCGGTCAGCGTGGGGCACACCAGAGGACGGGTGCACAAACGCCCTGCCACCCTCAGGCTTCACCGGAGATGTCACCGCACCGAGATCCCGAAGGCCCCTCCTCTGCCGCCCCAGCTCTCACCACTCCGCTGTTAGCTTCTTCCTGGCTCTTATCAATGCCCCAAGTCCGACTCATTCTTGTTTTAAGAAGTAGGCGACGGGCTGGCCCCAGCCCGAGGCCCACCTCTCCCCCAGCTCGCCCAGGCAGGGGCTGGCCTGCACCCGCTGGCCCCAGCCCCGAGCTGCTCACGCCTAGTTAACACGCTGCGCCCCGTGACAGCCCTGGGTCGCGACAGTGAGCGTGGTTCAGTCACGCTGAGTGGGCCCCGAGCACACGGACACCCACCTGCAGCTGTTTATGGCGAACGCTCCCACCAGAACTGTGAGCGTTACACCCCACAGGCTGCCTGTGCAGGCCTCCCGGGGGGCGGGACAGGAGCAGTGAGGTCTCCGCGTTCCCTCCCCTTCAGTCAATGAACACCTGGCGTCATCTGCTGAGCTCAATGCCCCCATGCTGAGTTTACGATCAGCAGACAGGCACAGCCATGGGGACAGCACGTGGTCGCCTCACTGCAGCACACAGCTGGAGCCATGACACAGGTCCCCCGGCCCCGCCCGGGGGCCAAGAAGAGCTTCCCAGAAGAGGTGACACCAGTCTCACCACAGTGTGGTGACGCTAATCGTGGGAGAACAAGTGGGGGAGCGGGGAGCGGGAGAAAGTGGTGTCACAGGGCCCCGGGCGGGGTGGGCGTGCAGGGCCGTCACAGTGGGCTCCCACAGGGACAGGGCTTAGGCCCACTCAGCCGCCCTCCGCTCCTCCTGTCCTCTGTCCGCTCAGATCCACCCTTGACCTCAGCTCCCTAGCCCTCCTCCCCGGGTCCCCCCCATGTCCCCAGCGCCCACGCCATCAGCATTCTCAAGGCCCAGCCAGCACGAGGCGGCTCCGTGCAGCCGTTCAGGAGACCGGCCGTAGGAAGGCGTGACACGTGTGCACGTGTGAAAGGGCTTCAGCAGCCCCAGGACCCAGAAGCGCTCCGAGACTCCGAGCTGACCCACTAGAGGAGATCCCAGATAGCCGAGCGCCCCGTAAGGCAGCCCAGGTGCTTCCCTTCAGCAAAGGCACAAGGAGGCGCCACTGAAACATGCAGGAACGGACTCGGCAAGTAGGTTCTCAGCAGACAAATGAATGCATTTACAACATACATATTTAGTCACTCCCTGCAGACACTGTGCTAGGGATTGTGGGGACAACGGACAAGCGGCAGAAGCCACCCTCAGTGAGGTTACAGGCTGTTGCAGGGAGGGGGCGCCCTGAAGCTAAAACATGAGCACCAAGGCCTGGGAATCCAGGCTGCAGGTGGGTCCCTCTGCACACATGGGTGTGGGGTGTGCGCCCCGTGTGCCAGGGTGGAGACACAGTTGCTGCCTCCAAGGAACATCAGCTCCGGCAGAGGAGGGGCCGCGGAAGTCAGAGCAGCGATGTGCATCTGACAGAGGTCTGCTCAAGGTCGCCGCCAGCTAAGGATGGAGGCAGTCCTTCTGGACCACAGAGCACAGCTGGAGTTCGCCTCAAGCAGACGGAGAAGCAGGTTACATGAGCGAAACTGCAGAGACCGAAGCCCAGCACGGGCAGGGCAGGGTGGTTCGCCTGGGCTGGAGAGGTGGGATAGGTGGGAGGTGGCGGGCCAGAGAAGAAGGCTGCACCTGCCCTAGAGGGGACTCAGCACCCACCTGCAAGGATGAGGATGGCTCGCAGGACCAGCATCTTCACTCTCTGCAGAGTCGCGACGGCCACCGCAGGCTCCCCAGGCTGCCAGGAACCCTGACACATTTCAGCAACACTGACGGAAGAAAGAGAAATGCATTAAAGAGTCAAGCCTGCAAGCCACGTGCACCGCTTCTGGGGACGAGTCATAAGAAGGGTCCTTGGTGCTCACAGCTACTCCACAGAGAAACAGACAACAGTCAGCAGGCACCACCACTTTCCGCCCGGGGGGGGGGGGGGGGGGCAGGGGAACGGAGCGCACGGATCAGGACTAAAGGAAGTCTAAAAATGAAATGCGCTTTCAGGCTGGGCTGCAGAAATCCACGCGGTGACGCAAACTGGATTCTGCTCGTGACACTCGTTCACTGGACATTAGAGGGAGTCTGAAGTCGGGTGACACCTTTGAAGGTCAGGCAGGGTCATACACAACCCCTCAGAGAAGCCAGACACAAGAATTACGCACTGCTCTCAATCCAAATAATTTGGGGGGAGAGAAAAGTTATGACCGAATTGCATTTTAGGTTTTAGTGCCATAGAAAAACTAACGTGTGATTTTTACTTCTAGCCAGAAAAGAACATGATGGTGTGTGCAGCCACTTATTAATCGCCATCTGGTAATACACAGTTCTTTGTGCCAATGACACCTGTTTCACTAGCCAAAGAAATCCTTCCAGTTATAGATGTGACTGGATTCGAGGTGCAGCCCGGTACCAGCAGAGCTCAGAAAATTGGCCAAGCCCTGGGCAGGTGAGTGAGGTCCAGGTGGCACTGCCACTCTCCCTGTGGGACTGAGAGACAGGCAGGTGCAGGCAGGGACCACAGACCACCCAGACGGCGCTGTCACACACAGAAAGGCTGGGCTAGGACAGTTGCAGCCCCTGACACTCTGCACACCCAGAGGCAGCAGACGGCCTCCAGAGCTTGCGACTAACAGGGCGGGGGTTTAAGAACAGGGTTCCCTTGGCGGCCATTCGGGGAGATGGCAGTGCTTGGAGGTGGGTCAGCCCCACTGTGTTGGGTCTAACCCAGTGAGGAAAGAAGGCCACAGCTCCCGGCCCCTCCCGGTGGTCAACCCTGTGAAGCACATGGCCTCACAATCTCACTGGCTTATCAAATAGTAGGACCACCGGCCGCCACAGCGTATGACCAGACATCTCTTCATGGACTCAGTCTTGGGACAAGTGAATACGAGGTTTTTACTTCTGAAAATAGTTTACTTGTGAAAATTTCTGAATAAATTCAAATCATATTTGAAGGCCAAATAATGAGTCAAACCATGAAGAGAGACTGGACTTTAGTCACTCTAGGTGGAAAGGAAGCAACATCAGAGGGAAATGAAGTGACGTCAGAGGGAAAGGAAGTGACGTCAAGAAGGACCACTTACCTGATCCACACAATTCCCGTGTGGTTCTACTTTCTAGTTGCTGCAGGGGGGCAACAAAGTGAGTCCAGTGTTTTATTACCTTTGACGCGTCAGGGGGACTTCCTGCCAGTATTCAATCAATGCAAGCAGTCCCTTCACGTAGTTCTTGAAATGTGGCAACGGGTTGCAGGTGTAAGGAGAGTCAAACACGTCTTTCTCGGTCTTCTCTTCCTTTCCTGATGTGACCTTGTTTCCAGTGGTTGCATTGCTAAAAACCTCCAAAATGGGCTGAAACGAAGTTCTCGTGGAATTCGCCCACTGAGAGTGGTTGAGGAGGTCTGCCCGTGGGAGAGCCATTCGAGGTAACACGCTTCGGGGCGTGCCGTCAGGTTTCTCAGGAGCTGCGTTCTGACTCAGAGACGGGGCGAGGACCGAAGCTTCCCCCAAATCATGGCTGCTGCCACCTCTCACGCCTCTGGAGACCTCGACAACTCTTTCCACGGCTTTCCAAAGGGTGTTTGGATGCCGAGCAAGTGTCAGCCACAGATTAAAAACATTCCCCTTATTCTCCTCTAAGTTATTCCAAAGAGCTTCTAAGGTGAGATCAATCACCATTCTCAAGAAAGTCTCCAGTTCTGTGCTGTTTTGTGACAGCACTTCACCCAAAGACGGGATGACTTCATGAGCACCTTGACAGAAACTACGAGAGGAAATTGGGTTAGGATGTAACAAGTCTATCTGGTTGGTGATGTCATTTATAGGAACTAAGCAATCCAGGATTTCTTCCCATATGTTGACAGAATCCATAGAAAATATTTGAGTCCCATTATGAACTGCTACCAGAAAATGCTCCACATCTCCCAAATTAATTTTCCCAGAAGTTAAAAATTCAGCAATTTCTTTCAAAATATCAGAAAAATCCTTGGACTTATTCACACATTGGCCTATGTTAGATGACATATTGAAAATGTCAGAGTCTTGTGAAATATTAGGTTTGACCCCAATCATCCCAAAGGCCAAGTCAAGAAATGGAGTCACCAAGTCATTTATATTTTCATATACCGAATGATCCACTTTTTTCAAAGTACTTATTTCATTCACATTTTGAACACTGTGTTGCAAAATGGAATAGAGAGTGTCAAAGAATTTCATGGTGTCATTGGTACTGGAGATGACATGAGTTTCAAAAAGAGAGACCATCTTCCCCGAAACTTTCTTGGCTAGCTCAAGTAGTTTCACGATGGAGTTTGTGGATGTGACAAGGTCTTCCATTTCAGCAATGTCACTCACCAGCATGGTCAGAGTATTAGACATTTCCATGAGGGGTTCCGGGACCTGACTTTCTCCACCAGCTCTTGAGACAATACCAAGTAATCTCTTAGTAATTTGTAATGTGGCTCTGTTTCTTAGAGGAAATGACGTATTTACAAAGAAAAGCAAATCTGTTAGATTAGCAAGTATAACTTGTTGGAGCATAGGCTCCAAGCCATGGAAGTCCTTATTGAAAGAGAGTAAAAGAGTATCCCTCAGATTTGCTATCGCTACTGAGGTTTCTCTCACAAGGTGCAGAGCTGACCGAAGGTCGTGGCTGAGTTTGAAGAGGTCCTCAGAACTGTTCGTATGGAAAAGCAACTGACTCACCAGTGTAAGAAACTCCAAATTAGTTCCAGTCTTATTTTTCATCGAGGTTTCCCGTAGAAGCACATTAAATAAACCTCGCATGAACTGCAGTCCTCGATGACTATCAAAAGAAAACTCTCCATTGTCTAATAGAAATAAGCTTTTGATTAGATGATACATAGTCTCCTTTAAACTTGAAGAAATGCTCATCAATTTGTCTTCTGTCATAGAGGTAAAAAATTGATCCACTTTCAGAATTTCCAGAATTTTGTCCTTTGGGATAAAACTGTAAATATATAGTTAATTTCATGCTTAGTAATGGAAAGATTAAAACATATAATGATTTTGGGGGGTTAAGTGGCATCATGGGGCTATAATGCTGACTGAAAGATAACATGCCAAAGTGCACTGCAGATGAAAATTAATGTTTTGTTGCCAAATACTGAAAAGAGTAAAGGAATTTCATGGATAATCCCATTACCACGCCTCAAACCTAACGACTTAAAAGGCCACGTTCTTTGCTTTTAAAAAAGAAACATGAAATGGCTGTGCAATGACTCTCAATGCACGAGGTAACATCTTTCTGACGTTCAAAGTCCTAGCAAACCACTCCGACACTGGATTGCTCCGAACACGGGTCAGCTCAGCTAGGCTGAGTGACAGCCCAGAGTCCCTTTCTCGTGTGTCTCTGGTCCGGGCAGGCTACAGGGTGGATCGCTCCATGAGAGTGGAGGATGGAAGGAAGTTATAGCTATTTTATAGCATAAACACTAATATAGGTGCTTCTGGGAAGAAATTTTCCAGATGTGACTAAAGTCCCTAATCATCAACTTAAAGTCAGTCAGAAAGGACATTGTCCTGGGTGGGCTGATGGTCAGGTGGGCGGCCTTCAGAGAAGGCTCAGGACTCAGCCCCAAACTGCAGCTGGATATGCAGCTGCCTCCCTCCCTTCGTCCGTGCTGACGGCCACCTGTGGACAAGAAGCTTCTGCTCACACCCGTGGGGTTGAGCCCTGACAGATACAGTCATCATATCATTTAAAGTGGAATTTCCCTCCAGCCTTTCCACACGCAAGCTTCAAAAGGGATGAAAAAAGATATATGAAAAGCACATAAGGTGACTATTACAAATATAAACATCATGGCAGATTAATTGAAATAAAAATATTTAAACCCCTCATTTGTGATTAGACAGTTAATACAGTCATTTGAATTATGTCCATATTAATGTGTACATATATAAAAACTAATTTTCGGGCCGGCCGAGTGGCTCAGTTGGTTAAGAGCTCGCTCAAGAGTTTGAGCTCTGAGCAACAGCGGTTCGAGTCCAGCCCGAGCTGAGCAGCCGCTGAGCTGCCAACAGGTAGCAGGATGGCTCAGCTAAAAATAAAAATAAAAAAAAAAAAAACTAATTTTCCAGTTCCATATAAAACAGAATTTCATAATTATTTTCATAATCCAAAAATATAAGAAAGCATACTATAAGTGATTAACTACCAAGGGCTAGGTTCATATAGATGTTCACTAGTTAGATGCAACCCTACAATTTATTTTACCTGGTTATTTTAATAAAATGTTCATTAAGACAAAGTTCACCTCCGAGAGCATCCACAGGCGTTACAGTGCTGTGTTGTTATTTACACCCAGGACACAAAGTGGGTCACAACATGTAGCGACCCTGTGGGCCACACAGACATACTCACCCCATCTCCGCAGTGACGTCTTTGGGGAAGTCTTTACACAGAAGAGAGAGTCTGTTCTCATAATTTCCCTTTTGCAAAAACGAAAAGAATGTTTTCAAAAGCTGGTCCGTGAACTCCACTCTGCTTCCTGGAGAGAGAATTATTCTCTCCCCCTTTTCTGACTGCGTTTGGTTCATGGGGAAGTCCATGAAATTCATTATTTGAAGGTCAGCATCACTTAAATTCCAGGCTGCTTCTTGAGAACTCCCAGCTAAGTTATTGGCTGAATGAATTAGGAAGCTTCCTAAAAGCAACCGAACAACTGAGAAGTCAGCTAGCTGCTCTTGGTTTACCAGCTGAGTAAGAAGAGCATCATCAAACTTAACTTCTCTAGAAATGTTTTTGAGATAGCCCATATAGGTAGTGATATCTTCAGTCAACAAGGCTAGATCATCAGCTGAACTCTTGTTGGCCATAAGAAGAAATGATGTTTGTATCATTCTTGAGTATTCTTCATTTGTATATTTATGAAGCCAGTTTTTTGTGACCGATAGAAAATCTTCGGTAATTTCTAATGCCTGCAAAGATGATGAATTCAGGCTTTCCAAAAGATGGGCAAGTTGAAAAGTTATGTTTTGAAGGGCCACTGAATTAATAATTTGAATGTCTTTGTTAATTTCAGAGAACAGTTGTCTGATATTTAAGTCATGATTTAGATCTTTCACGGTTTGTTGAAACTCAAGCCATAATTCTTCGAAGTTGTAAGTTGCTTCGCTTTTTTTAATAAAACCTGATAATACTTCTAAATTACTACCTGCAAGGGTTGCATTCAGAAACGCCATGAATGGAGAGGCTAAAGAATAAGCACTATTTTCTAGGCTCTGATCCCCAAAAAGCGATTTTATTATCCTTTCCAAATTTAAGGAAACATTTCCACCAAATTCCTCTGTGCCTTCATTGAGATTAAGGATCTTGTTTAAACTAGCTAGTTTATGAAGAATGTTTTCATGTGACGTAATATTTGTAAAGTTAACATTTTTTAATTTTTCTAGGATCTGCAAAGCAACTTGCTTTACAGGACCAGTGGAACAAAGCCCAGACATGCTGCCATTGCGTTGATTTCCAGAAGATGGGACAAATGGTAACACCTTTTGCCAAAATTCTTGCATAGTGTTCACAAGCGAACTTTTAACATGGAAGGCTTCAGACAGCTCTAGAAGAATGGAGTTCCAGTCTCCCAGTTCATGAATTAAACAGACCATTTTCCTAGTTATTTCCATCTGCGAGCTTTCATTTGAACACTGTGAAACGTCACCTGGGGGAGACAGGTGGAGGTGGTCAAGCATACTGGCCACTTTGCTATAAAAGGAAGAAGACATGAGCTCATGGCCATGACAGGCTTCTAACTTTGGATTCTGCTGAAATCCAGGAGTCGTGTGATTCCGGCACCAAAGCACAGGAAGGCAAGTTAAAGCCTCTGCGAGAACACCTGGTTTATCTGTTATTAATTCAACGGTGTCTAGAAGAGTTTTTATTACAACAGCGAAGTCTTCCCTGGTGACATTAGAAATGCTCATGCCATGAAGGAGTGTGAAGTCGTACACATCCTTGAGGGCTTCCGTGATGTTTTTGTCAACTATTCTGTGCAGGAGCCTCGCAACGTGAGGAAGGGCATAGGAGGCATCCACCACAGTGTTCACGTCATCTCTGGGAAACAGGCGAGACAGCCTCAGCAGATGAGCAACGTCCCAGGAACGTGAGCTGTCTACAACTTTCTCCACCAAGCCAACAAGCATGTTGACCCCCAGATGGCCAGTACCAACTCTGCTGACATTCTTAAAGAAATCCACTAGGCCTTCACCAATCTGCTCAAGCTGGTCTACCAGCAGGTCTGTGTTTGTCTTCCTGAGAGCACGCAGGAGAGAGGTTACCTTCTTTAAGGATTGACTGTTCCCCGGACCTTCTGGACTGCTGTGATGCACTGAGGGCACTAGAGAGCTGAACACATCGCTAATTAACTGAATCCCAAGACCCACTGCTTGCATTACTTCATGTGGAATTATCTGAGCTGAATTTTGCAGATCATGAGATAAGTTGAAGGCAAGGTAACTAGCTAAGTGGAAAAATGAATTGCCTAAACTCTTTATATCCTTTTCCTTCGGACTGGTAGCAAATACATTAAAAAACTTTTCCATTTCAGAAGAAGAGTTATTTTCCAAAACGTTAGGGAAAATATCTTTTGCAAGTTTTTGAATTTCCTTCCCCAGAGCTACTAAATGCAGCCAAATATTTTGAAATTGGCTAGGAATTTCATTGGACATGTCTGTGGGTCTTAGAATCGATTCAGTAAAATGTTTCCAGTTGGATTGAGATGCAAATTCAAAGTCTCTTGTTAAGTTGTGGATAATCATCCTTATTTGATCAGTGGAATCATTTAAAAGACTTAATAAAATCTCAAATTTGGGTACCTTTTCTTTTTCAAAGACTGCAGTAAGTATAACATTTAGAAAGTCAGTTACATTTTCCAAGTAAGTATTCACACAATTGATATTTGACTTATTCAATGAACAACCAGATTCCATCATAAGCTTCACAAGCTTCAGTGTAGAGTTCATTTTGTTTCCCACATCTCTGAAACTCCTCAGAGCACCCTGCAGATGGCCTTGTGAAGAACTGGGGTGATGATAGGTCACGCGCAGATGGTTTATGATGTCCACCCACTCAATGCACCCTTTCAGTCGGCTAATTGTGTCCTCGGAGGAAAATGTGGAATTTAACATGGCCAGGATGTGTAATGTCCTCTGTGAAGTATTTAGATATAATAATCCATCTTCCAAAATAAACTCAGTAACATTTTGGAAAATATCAGCACAGGACAACAAATCTTGGTCATGGGACACGTTTCTAAGAAATAATACTGTTTCTCTTAGGTTGGTGATGATACTTTCCAACTTTGCTCCATAATTTGTGGCGTTGTTTGAAAGAAAGTGGTTTATTAAATGTACGTTTCTACCTACATACTCTGAGGTATTGCTTAGCTCAATGAAAACGTCAAGCAGAGGATAGAAACCTTCTCTGCTTGCACTTGCGTTAAATGGAAATGCCTTCAGCTGACTCAGGGTAGCCTCCATGGTGAAAAGGGACTTCTCTACTTGGCCCAGGTTGAGCGACTTTACTCTAACGAATGCATCACCTAACGCTACCCAGAGATCCCTGAGAGTCAGCAAATCGTCCGGGTTGTGGAAGCCGTCTGCTTGAGTCACATTTTCAAATAGATGTAATAAGAGTGTAGCAGGGCGATGGGTGGGAAATATTCCTTGGCAGGTTTTAGAAATGTTCACATTGCTTTCCAGCTCATCCAAAAGCTGAGTGAGACCAACTTGAAGAGGACTGAAAACGTTCACATCCACCTTCAATATCTGAGCTATGCTTCCCCAGATTTCAGTCCACATTTGAAGCCATGAAACGGTACAGTGGACAGCCATAAACTCGTTGAACGCACCGCCATTTGCAGAGAGGTTTGAAAGAATTTGTGTCCACGGAAGACTAAATGGAGACCCCCCACCTATTGAATAATTCACAGAAGAAATGCTTTTATTATTCACAGCAAAGCATTCATTACCCAACAGCGCTTCTGCTGAACCATTGAAGAGGTAGTTCATATACTGAAACAGAGAAACACGAACCTCTTCGTCCACTGTGAACAGCCGTTTGAGGCCTGTGAGAGTGGCAGGGATCACTTCCAATTCGTGGCCCTCTGCAGACATCAAGGATTGGGCCCGAAGCTCCAACAAGTTAAAAGCTGAAAGCAATTGTTGACAATAAGATACTTCAGAAATTCCCCCAAGAACTTCTGTTGCCTCATATAAAAATGTAAATGCTTTACTGATGCTTTGGAAGTTAAATTGCTTTATGATATCCAAAATGTGTTTTGAGATTTGTGTAAGGACAGATAGCAGAGCTTCTGTGTTACGAATGCTCAAGAATTTATAAATATGTTGGTAAAATGAAGAAGAAATCTGCAGAAGCAGAGCTGCATCTTTGTCCTTGAAGACATTTAGAGACACATGAGTCAAAACCTTATCAACCTCTTGTTTCTGAGGTTCGGAAAGGGTTAAGAAATGAGCGGATACATTCCTTACAGCATACACTGCGTCCAAGGCCTCGGAGACTTGATGCCGCCTCAGAAATCCAAATTCATAGAGACTATTTATTATAGTTTCACTTAAATGAACAAAATCTAGTTCCACAGCTGGCGATTTAGGCCAATCTGAATGGAACAACTGGGAAAAGTTAAAGCTTTTACTAAGAATCCTCTCATTTTCTGGCACAGAAAAATTTAAAAGTATAGACGAGGTTTCCGCTTTAGGTCTTTCTCCTTTTGAAATGTCATCCATCCACAATTCCAGTAGCTGGGGATTGATCTCCAAAAGTAATAATTCCATAAATCTCAAAATATATCTTGATTCCTTCCTTTCAAGCGTTTGTATTTTTTCAATCATCTCTTTGCCAAGTTCCAAAAATTTCTGAGTATCACTACCAGATGGCTCTCCTTCTAAACTTTTTAAATGATTTACCCATAGTGGCCTTGTATTGACACTAGCCTCAGTGAGAGATGGGGGGTTACGGAACTGGGGAACACCAGATGAGTGGGAAGACTCAGGCAATAACAGTTTCTGCAAAAATTCCACAAATGATAAAAGAAAGCCCACGTGCTCATCCTCTAGGGTATGCCACTTCTTTTCCATCATGAGAAGTTCCTTCATGGAATTTAAGAGCCTACAATATTAATAGAGCTGTATTAGTGTCAGAAAAAAAATAGGCAAATTCAAGACAAATTCAACTTGTCAAATTTTTAAGGCAATACATTTATTTACAGTAAAAAAAAAATTAATGAAATCTTTACCAGACAATAGATTTTCCCAGCTGGATTTACTGTGAGCATTTGAAAGTGTCTCAGAACTCTGCAGTGGGGTTGCCCATGTTTAGCTTAAAATCTGCTTGCTGCACCCAAAACAATGCATTTTCAATTATTTTACTCCATGAGTTCATATGATTGTTAAAGATAAGTTGGCTATTTACACCTCTGATTCCTTGATTCCTTGTCACATCTCAGCATGTTTCAGCTGCAGAGGCTAGGACAGGATGGTGAGAAAGTGCCCCTTGGGACGTGAGGACGAATGTGGCGATTTTCTGTTCTAGAGGCGATTCCTAGCTCTTTAAACAGGGCCTCACCTGCCACTGCTAGAAACTCATTCTCTTCCCGGGAGTACTTTCCCTCTAGGTGTTTGTTTTAAAGTAGCCAAGTTCTGAAAGTAGCTACTCGTCCTTGTAATCCAGGAGCCACAAGTCCACTTTGGAAGTCCCTGGGGCCTCTGTGCTTCAGACATTCCGAAAGATAACAGGGTGTGTGTTTCAGATGCTTTAACGCCCCCTTCTCCTTGGGGGCTGGGGCAGCCCCATCTCAACTCATGAACGGTCCCCAGTGAAACCCCACCTGAAATGTGCAGGGTCACCAGGCTCGGGAACACTTAACTCTATCAATGGTGACCCAACCATAAGGAAAGCTGCCACTTTCAGACTTTTTAAGACGTCAGGATTGTAGATAAGAAGGAGGGTGCCTTAAAGGGTGGATTCCTCCCTTTCCTTCTTTCCTTCTTTCACTCTAATCCTGCTGTATGACTGACTGGCACAGGAGACAGACAGGACAGATCAAATGCAGGAACACTGTTTTCTCTCCAAAAGCTGGGAGCCCAGAGCCGAGAAAACACAGGCTTAATTTAGCTTGTTGTGATTTGTAGGGCAGGGAGTGGCTACTCTGAACCACAGAGCACTGGAAACGTTTGCTGGGAAATCTCCATCAGGAAAGGGAAAGAAAGGGCCACGACTCGGACTTCAGACCTGGCTCCCACCCAGCCCTGCAGAGAAACACATGTGCAGGGCTACACGCGTCACCACGTGGGACACGGTGGAACCCAAACCACCTCGTTTATGGGGATCTGAGAAGTCATGGGGCGGTCACAGCAGCGTGAGTGACACCTAAGTAGAACCAGAACCACTAGTAGTAATATCGCCACGTTTGTAATGTCACTCCACAATTTATAAGGCACTTTCACAACCATAATCTTAGTTCAGTCCTATAATAGCCTTTTGAGGTACATAGTATTATTATTATTATTATTTCCATCTCATGGGAAAAGAAACATTTCAAAACAATGCTTTCCTGGCAGGAAGAGGACGCGGCCCAGGTTTTCTGAAGCTCAGCTATCTTAAAATTAAGTGCACTAATGTCGATTCTTATTTATGTATTTATCCATTCATTCAGTAAGATGCCATCCAGTCATCCAGCATCTATCATGGAAGGTACTGTGCCAGCTGCTGAGGCTACAAACACAAAACGAAAGATGCCCTTGGAGCATCGCAGACTCACCTTGTCGCTGTCTCTCTAGGGCCACTGGAGCCTTTCGGGAAAGGAAGGTATTACTAATCCACCAGGAGCAAGGGGCCGACCCTCCCGAGGGCCCATCCACCCTTCCTCCTGCGCCCTCTCACACTGAGCCTCAGGAGTTTCCCCAGGAGTGCCGGGTCCCAAGTCAAGAGACGCTGCAGAATGCTTCTTAAACGCCGGTGTGCACCAGAACCTCCTGTAGAACTGGTCAAACCGACAGGAGCCTGGATCCTACACATCAGCGCGGTTTCGCAGGTCTGGGCAAAGTCCAGCATTTGTAACAAACTCCGCAGGTAAGTCTGACCCCTTCCCAAGTTTCAGAGCTACTGCTCTAAGACAGAGCTCCTGTCCCATCGGTCTCTACACGCTCCACAAACAATAAACTGCACACATGTGCTTTGTGGATAAATATCCACAATTTTCATAAAAATTTCCATTTCAATGCATGTGTATAACCTGGCAGAGTATAATCTGACCAATTTAGTTCCAAAGATCACTTCTTTCCCCAAAGTCTCCAGAGCTACCAGAATCTTAAATCTTTAATCCCATGTCTAGACTCTAAGCAACTAGATAAGACTATTTTTCAAAGAAAAATTTTACTCTTAGAGTATCTATTATAAATCATGCTTTGAAGGAAAACTGTATTACTATAATCTGTCTTTCATTTCAAAATCCATGGAAACATGAGACACACATTCTATGAAATAAATATTTCTTGAGCACCTAACATGAAACATGGTATCAATAACTAAACCAGGATCTCAGGTTTTAAATCATGTGTAGCCTATAATTAGGTTTTGCTTCTCTTCCAATAATAGTTAAATCAAGACCTGGAAGTTGAATTCTGAAACTTACCTGGATATGGAAGCTACTGGAGACTTGAGGAAGTTTTTCAAAAATGCAAAATAATTATCACTGATGATTTTCCAATCTATGTTTTCTTTATAACAAGGAGATTCCTCTGAGAAAGCTAAATAGAAAAAACATTTCACATATTGATTTCAAGTTGGGTATAACAGTCAAATCAAATAAAGTGAAAAATGCCACAGTGGTTCAATTAACATAAATATAACAAAAATATAACAAAAGAGGATTGAAACTCCTTCTGATTTGACTTCTGGCCCAGATGAAGAACCACCGACCATTGAGCAATGACAGAAAGGCAGACAAGAAACAGGTAAGCTGTGGGTGACTGTGGCCGCACATGCACAGCTGACCTAACGAACATAAACTACTGCACCCAGCGACACGATTCACATTCTTCTGAAGAGCCAACGCTGACCAGACTTGCCCCCCGTGAGCCATAGGCCCATCTCAACAAGCTCAAAAGACTGAAACACTCAGAGTACACTCTCTCACTAAAAAAAAAATTAGGCTAGAAATCAAACTTTTTTAAAGTAACCTGAAAGGCCCCCAACTGTTAATGAAAATTAAGCAATATACTTCTAAACAACTGTGAGTCAAAGAAGAAATCATAATAAATATTAGACATTTTTGAACTGAACAATGATAAAACGATGAACTATCCAAATGTGCAGAAAACATCTACAGCTGTGCACAGGGGAGAAGGCAAGGCTTAAAAGCATACATTGGAGAAAAGAAAATCTGAAAATCAAGAAGCTAGAAAAAGAAGAAACTAAATTTAGTAGAATGAAGGAAATAATAAAGATAAAAGGAGAAATTCATGAAATAGGAAAAAAATTAATAAGCTGGGAAACAAACGGGCAGAACAGAGAATCAACAAAACTCAGCTATTGACAAGTTGTATTTCTGTAATGCAGCAAGTGTTTGGGCAGAGTTACGCCCCTAGCAAGGACCCCAAGGGAAGTGGATGGTTAAGGTTCCGGGATTTGGGTTCGAGGCTTTGACACTGAGATTTGTGACCTACAGCAGCAGTATAATCTCGTTAGCCTTAGACTCTTCATCTGAAAATGAAGTCGTAATGGCACTCACAAGTTGACATGAGGATTGAATGAAACTATTCATATAAAACACAACAGATGTTTGTGATTATCAGTTATTGAGGCTTCTGAGCCAGGCTTCTCGTAGATACTGTCACTCTTTGTGGCCTGTGTTTCTGGAAATGGTCAGAAGTGGGCAGGAGTAAGTGATAAAAAGGAGGGCGAGCAGGAAATTCAAGTGTCAGAGGAGTGCCCAACCCAGGAGGACCAGGCCACGTCGCTGGAGAAGCTCCCATCAAGCCAGCCTGGCTGGGCCACGTGCACAGCCTCCGAGTCACCAGCAAAGGCAGAGCCCCAATGCGTGGCTGGTGGGGTTGACACTGAGAGCCACAGACAGGGGGTTCTCTGACAGCCTCAAAAAAGCAGCAGTTTGAGGAGGATGGAAGGAAAAATGGTGAGGTGGACATGGCCACAGAAAAGGAGCAAAAAATTCCCATCCCCAACCCCAAGTCCAAGACGCAGTCCAAGGAGGAACTGGTGACCCCATGGAGACAGAGCGTGTGCGCCACACGGAAACCCAGGGGGCAGCCTGACTGCCGAGGAGGTGGGAACAGACAGCAGCCCAGACCAGGAAGAAATGCAGGTACCACCCTGACAGCATCTCCTTGAAAAGCAGGGCCTTTGGGGAAACAGGGTGACTCCCTGTGAGTCGCACAGGTATGAATTTATAAAATCCCTATTTTAGGGGATTTTTTATTTTGAGGATGGCAAGGAAAGAAGGGAGCTGACTCAACATGGGGTGTTCTCCCCGGTATGCGGGGTGGACCGAACACTAAGTGAGCTGAAAAGCCCCCCAGGCAGTCCATCTGGACTCACCGGGGTGGGTCACGATTCGTCAGCCAAACCAGGCAGTTTGGTAGTAAAGCGGTCACTATTAGACACTGCACTGGGGTAACCCGGCCCACCCAAACCAGGACTTCCGGTTGTCTTGTCATAGTGGACGGGCCGAGGCCAACGCGGCAATCGCCATGGTCCTCGGTACTTGGCACACGTCCTCTTGAAGCTCCCCCGGTGTCATCTCCTAGGAAGCCATGTGGCCGCACTAAAGGCGGAGAAGCACCCACATTCCTGCACTGACGACCACTGACCTACCAGGTGGGCCGTTCTGGAAGCCGCCTGGCATAGTCACATATCGAGCCACCTCACAAGTCTTCCTGATGAGTCCCTTGAGCACGTCCCAGTAGTGTGCTTGTTCCAGGGACAACTGTGCATTTTCAGGCATGTGAAATATCCTTCAATCAAAAAGATCGAGAAAATTAAAATTTAATAATGATTTTCCAGGAGACCTATCTTTACAAATTTATCTAAACACAAATATATACAATGCTTGGCATCCCACTTAGGTAAAAAATTAGAATCTTTGAAATAGTCTTCTTAATACGGATTTATGACTTCCCCATCCTGATTAGAAAAATGAGGGAAAACTTTTTAGGGGAATACGTAAAATGTAAGACATAACAAATCAAGAGAGAAGAAAGTAGAAAATTAAAGGATATAATAATATGAAATGAGCATTGAAGCTAAGAAAAACACATTCGTTATTTGACCTGTTTGACTATGAACTTCCTAGTAGCCAACAATGGAAACTGATCGACATAAAAAAAGGCTCTGCAGTTTCCGAAACGCAGCAATCTGAGGGCGGAAGTATATGCACGAAATGAGACGGAAAGCAGGTCACTGTGGACACGAGCAGCCCGCTCGCAGGAGAATGACCCAGTGACTGGGAGGTGCCCTCACGGACCAGGGTCCCTGCTTCTGTGCAGAAGGAGCCTCCTTATTGGGATCAATCGGCTGCTTCGCCTGCTTTTAGAGCTGAATGTGGATTAAACATCCTCTTTGCCCCGAAACAGGAAGGTGTACTCCCAGTGACACACACAAGAGCGAGGCTTAGGACCAAGTCCCCAGTGGGATTTAGAAGCATTTCCGTGGCGCGCCAGCTCCCCGGCGTATAACACCATTGAAGAGTTTCAGAAGGTCATGGCGTGCAGCGTCTCAGAAAAGCAGGTAAGCCGTCGCTGCTTCAGGCTGAGACAATAAGTGGGCACCTGGAGCGCAGCATACTGGGTGCCTCATGCCCGACCCCCACTCTGTCCACCCCACGGATCTGACTTGTCAGGGAGGGGTTCAGCCAGGGGTTCCAAACTGTTTCGCAGAATGAGGGGTCTGGGGAATCCACATGCACGCACTGTTAATGTCACTGTTAATATCAATGTTTTGTTTGATAAATAATTATACTTAAATTTGTAAATTAGAAAATCCACTCAGCCGAGTGGGGCTGTATCTAAATTTAGCAACATGAGACCAACAACACTGAAGTTGTGCTTCAAACAGGCTATTTTCCTTTATCCTCTTGTTAAGGAAAACCTCCCATGACGTTCTTGTACATTGAAGAGTATCCCAGGATTACATGACATATCACTGAAAACTCGCTCGCCATGTAAAGACTTATCTAAATAAACACAGACTTTCCTGTTATTGTGTCGCTGATGTAACTACAGAAATGAAGTTAATGCTGACGCTGACATGGTTCTCCGTCACTGGTACCTCCTAATTCCAGCTGGCGTCTCTTTCCAAAGAGCCCTCGTGCCCTTACTGCTAACGCGTTCCACCCCTAGGACACGACCACCCACTATGCTCAAATAGCTGAGTTATACATCAAACCACCAACTGTCAAACATGTTCCACCTTCCTACACTGACAAACACGACTCCCAACAACTGGGAAGCCAGGTTCAAATTTAGAATTCTCTGCTCCTCAGAGCCGTGCACCAATATGGGGGTTCAGGAGCACCCACACTGGCCCACCCCAGGCCACCCCTCCCCCACTTGCCCCGAGCTGTCTGTACCTCAAAGGCCTCATGTACACACATGTGGACACTCGGTCCTGCACATCCAAACACTGTCCACCCCTCCACCCCACACTCCCCTGCTAACAGCTGACCCACCCTGAGCCTTGGGGTGCACACTCAGGTGGTGAGAGCCGCCTCCAAGGGGCACTAGGGAAGAGGCCCACACAGCTCTGGAAGCGGGCTCTGGCCAACGGGGCGGGGGCTCCAGGGTGAGGCGGCTCTGTGGGCTTATCCCCTCGGCCCCACAGGCTTCCTGAGTCATGAGCAGAGGCATGGCCTGCAGAGGCCAGAGCAGGGTCTCTTTTGGGGTAGGGACCCCTCTAGCCCTGGCCTAAGGGCAATGTTGATTGTTCTCACTGATAGCAGATAAAATAAGTCATACTTTAAAATCTGACAAGAATATAAACTTTTACTAATAAAATACCACATTTGTGTAAACCATAAGTTTACACAAAAGAACTCTATTGGGGAATAAAAGAATGTGTTATTAAAACATGGGAAAACCCCCATGGGAAGAGGTCTTCTCGAAGGTAACTCTCACATATCATGGGTCAGGTCCATCACAGGAGACGAATGTCCAACTCACTGAATTATACCACTGAGAGTACTGAGCTGCTGTTCTGGATATTTTGGGAAACTGCAACATCGTTTATTAAGAAATTACTTAAAATTATGATATTCATGCCACATCTCCAATTATGAAAAACTTAAAAATAACCAGAAGGCCAATTATAAATTATCAAGTAAATTATGGCATATGGTATAGACCAAATTGGAATATTATGCAGATCATTTGGAGAATATAGGAACATAAGAAATGTGAATGGTGTGGCATTAAATTGCTTAAACCAGGGAGAAAAGGCTCTGAATAACATTACTGCACTCACATAAAGCACCTGTACACATAGACGCACTCATGTAAATGACCTATCCAGGCAGACGCACTCACACGCGTATACAGGAACATGAGGGTCAGCTGGAGATGCAAGGGTTTCAGCCATTGCAAGGTAACACCTCTGACGTGATCAAACAGTTATTCAGAGATACATATATCTTCCCATGAAAAAACGAGGAGGAGACAATCCACACACCTATCACTACACTTTTCTTTTTAACCTACCTGGAGACGGCCTGGAGAAGGTTGACTCCACCACCGATGCCGTCAGCGCTGTGGACACTGTTTGTGGCTAGCCCGGGCAGTAAAAGCAGAAAATCCCAGATGTGGGGCTGCTGCTGAAGGCTTTCCAATTTCGATATCACCTCCTCGGTCTTATTGAGATCCATCTGAGAGAAAACATACCAGGAAGTACCCGCTTTAGCTTCGTGAATCAATTAAATGATGGGGGGGTGGCCGCAAAGGAGTAAGAACGTGGACCCTCTGGTGGCTCAGACAATGTCTGCTATGTTACTGTTTTGAAGAGACAGGGTTTAAAAGTTGTTCTTTTAGATTGGTGTTCGTCAATTGAAAGTATGGACAGGGGAACGGAAGCAGAGATCTGTTTTTGTAACAAGTACCTCCTTCCCTCCCTCTCTCCCTCCTTTTCTTCCTCGCTTCCCTCCTCCCCCTAAATGACTGAATGCCAAGGGTATCCCCTCAGACACCCCCCCCCCATTAAAGTCGATGGAATGTGTAACCTCCTTACCTCCTTATCTGTCTAAATTGGCCTCCAGCCAGCGTCTCGGAGGCCGCTCTGAGCTGCCCCCCCACCTGCTCGGCGGCCCCCACCAAACGCCTCTCCTCCCTGCAGAGGACGCTGCCCGCGCCTCGCGTCGGCCCGGACTCCACCTTGGTCCGACCGCAGCGGGGCCTGTGCCCACAGTGAGCCCGCCACGCCGAGCCCGGGATCTCGGCAGCGCCCTGCACGGCGTCGGGGCGCCAGCACCTCGGGCCCCACCGCGCGCCCGCTGCTCCCCCTCGAGCCAGAGCCGAGCTGGGGAAGGTTAGGGTTCACCTTGCAGCCCAGCGCCTGCATGGCTCTGGCTGTCGCAAACGGCTTCTACACCGTATTACTAAACATAGAATCACTCAATGTAAAACCAGTGTTTTGAACTTAACCATTATGTCTGTGAAAACTATGTTTCAAACGTTTGTGAAGATACTTACTGTTAAAAAGCCAGAACCATAAGAAGAATCTACAATAGAGAAGATTTCAGACATATTAGTTCAATCAGCAATCAGAAAGCATTTGCTAAGCACCTATATTATTTCTAAAGTCAAATGGCTCAACACAGTCCTGCCCCAAAAGACAATTATATCCTAATTGAAGGCTAAACCTGAAAGAAACAGTCATTTTCAGTTTCCAAAACACATTGATATTAAATATATTCCTGGAAAACAACTGGTAAACCGAATTTCAATAATTTGCAAAAAAAAAAAAAAAAAAGTATCACTGTAATTCCACAGGCATTATGAACATCAGGACAGGATAGAGGGCATGAAGGGAAAATAAAGGGGAAAAAAGTTGAAGAGGAAAAGAAAAGTGAAATTGTGACTTTGCAGACCCAGTTGGTATCTACAGAGAATGAAAAAATTGCTTGGTGTAGAAAAGCCACACATTTGTTGTGTTGTGAGTAGATGAGGTTTTGTTTTACACATATATCATGGGAAATGCCTCAAATAGTAACAAATTGAAAATCAGGTGGAGATTTCCTCTAAAGGAAAAATTAGTTCTCCTTCTAACAGACTATTAACTTTCTCATTTGAAAAAATAAATCTTATAAAAGTAGAATGATCCCATAAGAGCACCTAATGTAAGAACTCCATCATTTGATGTTTGAAGCTATTCTGGCCTTTTGGTGATGCATTTGGTCCATGGAGAAATCCGCCCCGCCTTGCCCCACCCAGGACAAAGGGGAGGTTTTCTCTCTTAGAAATAACACATATCATCACCTCTTCTGCAAAGCACATTCTTTACTTTTCTGCCAAATGCTTTATTCCATTTTTTTGTATATATCCATAAAGAGAAAAAATATAGATTGATAGACAGACAGATATATATATAGATATAGATACAGATATAGATATAAAGAAAAATTGGAAGTGGGCACTTAAGGTTGCCAGATTTAGCACATAAAAACATATTTACTTTTATACTAAAGAATTATTTGTTGTTTACCTGAAATTCAGGTTTTACTGACTGTCCTGTATTTTATGTGGCAAATGTGGATAGGGTTGTATTTAAAAAAAAAACATGATCACTGTGGCCCCACATATTGATGAAGTTTGTAGGCAATAACTCAGCTACGTAAAGATAGACCATTACTACCACCCACCCCACCCGAGGTCCAAGCATCAAAGGCCAGAATTAAAGTGTTGCTAACATAGAAAGACGTATCCAAGTCTACCAGAAGGAGGAGAGGAATCATGTGTTTGTGTGTGTGTGTGTGTGTGTGTGTGTGTGTGTGTGTGCGCGCGCGCACACACGCGTGTAAGGAAGGGTCAGATTTAAAAACAGAGGAAGCGGGAGTGAGAAAGGAAGCTAGAACAGGAGTAAGACGAGAAGGGAAAGTGGAGAGAGTGAACCTGCAGAGATAAAGCAAGGGTGGGACGCAGCCTCTCTGAAGGTAATGCCCAAAACGCCACCCCAGGAGGGGTGATGGACATCTCGCCCCGCCCTCCTCACTCATGGAGGGCGCACCTTCTCTAAGACCCACGCAGCAGCCTGGAGCAGTAAGGGGCTGAAGTGTCAACAAACGGGACATAGTGGGTTCTCACAGCCTCCCAGGGCCCCACCTAAGCCTGTGTCCAGGTGGGGAGTTGACAGCATGAGAGATTTACTTGCCTGGAGTCTTGGATCTTTCTACCCAAAGTTTTTGTAAGTTTGTTGCCTTGTCCATCATCTCATAAATTTCCTCAGCAAGGTCCTGCATCTCTTGGAAGAAGACCAGGTCACTGATCTTCTTGTGACGGCCAGCTGTGCTCTGGAACCTAGACGAACTTTAAACAAATGGAGTAAATACCACAAATAGGACTTTTTACAGGAATAAGTGTCCTCTGCATTTTTAAGATTCTTGATTCCAAATATCAAATCATTTTCAACTAAACGTGTACCCATTTCCACTTATTTTTAAAAACTTTGCCAACTTAAAATTAGAAAGTTGTTCTTGATCTCTTTATTATCTGCGAACTTTAACCATTGTGTGTGTTCATTAATCGCTTCCCTTTTCCACTTATTTTTCACATGATACAGCATGCCCTGTGCAAGGTGCTGGGAGTAAACACACCAGTTGACGAGTCAGAAGGAGTTAATGAAACTGAGTCTGGGGGCTAACAGAAATGAGCCTGCAGATTAGCTGACGAGTTAGGAAGTCAGTAAGAGTGAGTCTGGGAGCGGGCAAGAATAGCATTAAAGATCAACCACTTACGCTCTGAACCCAGGACACCTACAGACTGACAAACACCGCAGACAAACACCAGGACAATTTTCAGAGGAAGCCAACCAAGACAATAGTTCTCAGAAGGAGCCTGCCGCGACTGTAAACAACTATTAATACAAGATAACTAGCCCCTGCATCCAGCATAAAAAATATATATATATAAAACCCCTACCTCCCCTCACCTAGGGGTAGCTGTTCTCTTCAGACACTGCCAGGGGCGTTCTCTCTCTCTGCCCAACCCTTAATAAAATGCTTTCTTTACCTTCTTACTTTTCTGAGTCTGTGGATGCTTTCACCTTTTGCAAATGACCAGGGGTTAATTCTACACCAATACAGCAGTGACCAGCGGAGGCCCTGCTCCAGGAGTACAGAGGAAACAGAAGATAACCACACAGACAGGCCTCATAAGTGTGGATTGAGGTCAATGCCAGGAGGAGAATCAATACTTCTTGGTAAGATAGGAAGTGAGTGGAAGTCTGTTGTAGAGATGGCACTCACAGTTGGCCTGAAAGGAGGCGATTTGGGGCTAAAACCTGAAAAACCAAAATGGTCCGCCAACTGGAAGAAGTGGGGGTTGTGGGCCAGTCAGATGGAGCCTGTGCAAAGGCCCCGAGGTGAGGGGCTGAGGAGAGAGAGAGAATATAGAACCCATGAGATTTTTTAATCCCAATTCCTTTATTTTACAAATTAGAGAATGCTGTGAAAATGCAGTGACAGTTGTCAATAGGTAAATCTGCCATGAAATAGTAACAAAGCTTACCCCACCCTTCCCACAAACACTGTTGCTTCATTTTCATCAGCTATAATGAAGTCAGAGCAGGTTCAACTAACTTACTGTTAAATAAAATAATTCAGTGCCTTTCAGGTCACAGTCCACTTACAAATAAAGCAATGAGGCCCAAAGAATCAAAGAGCATTTGCCGAAAGCAACAGGGTAGATACAGCAGAGCCAGGAACAGTCCGAGAGGCGAGCCCGTCACCTGGTGTCACCATCCACCTGAATCTCACCTTTTAAAATGTGGCCTTCAGGGCCGGCCGAGTGGCGCGATGGTTAAGAACTCGCTTGGGATGCCAGAGGGCCCCGGTTCGGATCCCACATATGAGGGCCAGTGACACTGCCCTCTACAGCTAAGATGCTGAACAACAGCTCAACCTGGAGCTGGGCTGCCGTGAGTCGCCGGCGACGGCGTAGGCTGCAGCCCCTGTGGCAGTGGGTTGCCATGGGCTACCGTGTGTGGCCAGCAGCCAGCGTGAGCGGCCAGCAGCCGCAGTGAGCGGCCGTCCAGAAGCCGGCGACTGATCTGCCTCGCCCGGGAAGAGCGCAATGATGGTGCCAACTTGGGCCAGTGAAGCAGCGTCCTCCACAACTAGATTGAAGAACAAAACGACAGCAACTTGTCTGTTCCCCTTCCCCTAATTTCCCAGTACTGTTCCCAACCCCCCAATTACCCAATAAAAATCTTTTTAAAAAAATAAATAAATAAATAAATAAAATAAAATAAATAAATAAAATGTGGCCTTCACCTTGACTGGGTCAGAATTCCCAAAGTACAACAAGAATTCAGCTCTTACTTCTGCTACACCCTCGTGTTAAAAAAGAAAAGCATTTCATAAAGGGCCCCTGGGGCTGTGGACTGTAATGTAAATTCTCCTGCCTCACCCCCACAGGGGACTCTCCTGGGACCCCACAAAACGGTCAGATTAGAGAGACTGAGGTCATTCTGAGTGAGTTTCCCTGTAATAATGAACTGGTTTTATATTGTTCTTCTAATTGTTATTCAAAAGTTCCTCAACTTGTCCTTAAGACCGGATTATGAACTATTACTAACATGAAAATGTTTACGGCAGAAAAGAGAGCGAATTGGAAAGCCCCAGGGAACTCCCAGTACTGTAATAGGCTCTGGGTTGAGAGCAATTTCCTCCTTCCGAGTCCAGTTCTTTCTTTGGTCTTTTATCAGGTAAAGGTCGACCTTGCCAGCTATGAAAGGAGTTGTGAGGGGAAGGCAGAACAAAGAAGATTAGGATGAAAGGGGACAAGGGAAGGCTACTTGGCAGATGACTCAATTTCTTTCCCAGGCCTCAAACTAGGAATGAAAACTTTTCACAGGGCTGAGAGCCAAATAAAAAAGAACACATGAAACTCTAAATAAAAGAAAAAGCATCCAGGTAGGAAAAAAAGGAGTAAAATTGTATTTCCAGATGACATTATCATGTATGTCATCCTAACAATTCCACTCCTATATATTTACCCAAGAAAAACAAAACTTTCTATGCAAAACATTTTTTAATGTTCATAGCAGCTTTGTTTACAAATAGCCCAAACTGGAATAACCCAAATGTCGATGAATGAGTGGTAAATGGGTAAACAAGTCGAGTCATCTCCATACAATGGGAAACCACTTAGCAATTATAAAGGAATAAATTACTGATACATACAACATGCGGATATATCTCAAAACACGCTGCTAGGTGAAAGAAGTCAGACGCCACAGATATGTCTTGTATATAAAGTTCTGCAAAAGACAAATCTAAATCTACTCTAGAGGACAGAAAGCAGGTAAGCTGCCTGGGTCTGGAAGGGGGGTGGGAGGCGGGGGGGTGGAGGGGGCAGGTTGGAATGGGATGGCACAGGCGGAGAATGTTCTAGATTCTGGTCATGGTGTTGGTTACCTAGGTGCATGAACATGTAAAAACCTACTGAGTATACACTTAAATAGAGCAATAAAGTTAATTTTTGAAAGTTAGTTGTATTTCCATAACATGAGGGATAATCAGTGACATAGTGTAACTGATAAAAATATGCCGTTTGCAATAACAACAAAAAAATATATAGTAACTAGGAAAAATTTTAACCAAAGATATGCATGACCTGTATGGGAAAAATCATAAAGCTATGCTAGAAGATGCAAAGAGCACCTCGGTAAATCACGTGAGGTATCATGATCGTGGGCGTCAATAAGACTCCAATCAGAACCCCAGTCGAGTTTTTTCATTGACCCTAACAACAAGTTTGTAAACTTTGTATGGAAGAGCAGAGACTTCCCCGAAGGAGAAGAGCAGAGTAGGAATACTTGCTCTATCAGACATCAAGACGTTAGACAGCTGGAGTAAGAAAGACCATGAGGTATCATTCAAGATGGCTGGGAGGACCAGAGTCGGAAACAGGCACAGCACAGGTGGCAGCTTAATTTACGTCACAGTGGGACTGCAAATCAGAGGAAGACGGACAAATGGCTTAATGAGTGAAACTAAAACAACTGCTTATCCAAACGGAAATACGTAATTCAATCGTCATTGTATCATAGACATAAAGCACAGATGGATTCAAGACTTACTTGTGAAAGGAAAAATTAGAATACTGTTATTGTAGAAGATAATGTAGGAAATTATCTTTATGACCTAAAGCAGGGAAGAGTTCCTTAAACAAAACTGGTGTAAATATGAAACAAATCTTACCAGGGGAGAAATTTACGAATAAAAAAAAAAAAGAACAAACACACCCGACTCCCCCTGTTCTCATCATGCACAAGAAGGCAGCTCAGACTGGGCATGGGGGGGTGGGGAGGACCAGCCCACAGAGCTGAACGCAGGTCGACAGAACATGTGGGTGACTCACTGTGCATCACTGACACCTGTAAATCCTTCTCAAGTCTGTCTCTAGTGTCAATACCCCTTCATGTCAGAAAGGTCTTTTAAGAAACAAGAATCAAACGCTTAGCTGCTTTGGGTGAAGAAAGAGGACTCTGCTACTTGTAAAGAAGCCGGCCCTGGAATAGGGAAAATAACCAAATAGAGGCTGAGGAATAAAGAAATAACATGAAGTCACCATAGTCGAGCTGCTAAATTACTAAAATCAAGTCAGTTGAGGCCTGAAAAAAACTGTTCTGTTCTCATGTTGACGGCCTGGGAACCTAAACTTTTGAATTTTTCAGTCCTGAGTCAAATCCTGGACACACATCCGACCTGCCCATGACCCTCTGATGACCTTCGGAAGGACTAAGGAAGGATCGTCACACACCCAGACCACTTGGTGTCCAGCATCCAGACCACCGGCCGTCTCCGGCCAGTCCAGAGGCCGAGTGCAGGGCTGATTCTCCTCGAGTGTCCTTTTCACTAGAAGAACCCTCGGCCTCTCCTTCTCCTTCAGGACTCTCTGGGTATCGCCTAGTTGCGTTTGCACTTTGCAAACCCTGAGACCCTTGAATAAATTTTTTTATCATTTATTTCTAGCAAAGGCCCTTGACGCTTCTTGAACTCATTCAACATAGAGTATAAAGTGTAGAAGACACTCTAAAGTGTCAATAGAGTAAAAAGCAAACTGACAAGCCGAGAGGTGAGGCAGCAGCAGGCACTGAGCCACCAAGATGGAGAAGCCGAAAGTCGCTGACAAGGACGTGGGGACACCAAGAAGATCCTGGAGGGGCCGGAGCTCATTTGAGAAGGAGATAGATGATTGATAGATAGATGATAGATAGATAACAGATAGATGATAGTAGACAGAAGAGATGACAGAAGATAGAGGGTGGTAGGTAGGTAGGTAGGTAGGTAGGTAGGTAGGTAGGTAGGTAGATGATAATGGAATGAGAATACGTAGCAGGAAATAACTGGGAATAGTTATAAGGAGAACATGATGACGGGTTAAAAGCGGAAAACTGCTCAGCCAAGGATGAGAGGACAAAGAAACCGAGTTGAAAGTGAAGAATGTTCTGGGGGGGCGGGGGAGAGGGGGTTCACCAGCCTCCTACAGATTGGTGACCATGAAGGGAAGTGATGGGCAGATTCAGACAGCACATTCGTATCATAAAGCATCTTATATTTGCTTGTATGCCATTAGCGTTACCTTGAACTAAACAGGAGTGATCCCTCACACCGTGTGAACATATCCACTTAATCCGCTGGCAGTAATGCCTGGTTGTTAGCTCCAAACCCTCTCGCAAGAGCCAGGGGGAAGCTCCGAAACAGCCAGGAACGAGGAAGTGGCTTTTCATAATCACAGCCCAGGTCGCATGGAATTTGGGAGTTCTGCCCAAAGTGAACTTTTCCCAGGGAATCATGAAGGGCATGGCAATTCAGACTAAATTCACCACGATAATGTTTCAGTGGACTTCAAATGGAAACCTGCTTTCAGATGTTTGTACCGAGACAACTACCCAAAGTAGTCAGGAGGGAATTTGTATTTATGGCTTTGAGGGTCAACTGAATTCATATTGGAACCAATACAAAAAACAAGTGAGAAACGGCCGGTCGAGTGGCCAGGTCAGGCGCTGAGCTGAGCTGAGCTTGACCATGGGCACCCATGCTCTTCCGGGCCCCTACCCCTCACTCCTGACAACTGTCTTTCTCTGTGTCACCTGCATTTCTCAGACCTCCGCCTCAGGCACTGCTCGAAGGGGGAAGCATTTCACTCTTGGTTTCGCAATGCCGGTGCTCCGAAACAGACTACCATTCCCAGAATGTGGTGTGGACCACTGTCCCCAGGTGTCTGTTATAATCCCTGAGTTTCAGCGAATTGAAGTGGAGGAATGTGGGGAGTAAAGGACAGTTATTTCCTGATGTGGAAAAACGTTTTATTATGCTACAGTCAGGGTAATAGGAATCTGTTATCACTAACTCCCATGGCGGGGCTTCTGCGCTCTGCATTGTGCCAGGAGTTCCGTGTATTTCGCCTTTAATATCCATGACACTTGAAGTAGGTACGTGAGAAACAGATCCAGAGGTTAGTAATTTGCACAGATTCACAGGACCAAAAGTGACAGGGCCAGTGTTGTTTGAGTGCAAAGCCCAACTTTTTCCACTTGAACAGCATTTAAAGATCCCATCGTGAGTGAGGAAGAGATATAAAAAAGACCTGAAATGGAATTTCTGATCCGCCTCAAGCCCTCTCATCTTCGCAGAAAGAGAGTTTGGTATATTTCCTTTTTCCACAAACACAAAAAGATTGACTCTGAGTTTAGACTCTTTCCAAATGATTTTCTTTATGTAATACTTTTTTATTATTACCTATCTCAAAAAAAATGTAAGCACCATTTATAAACATTATACCAGATGTGTGCAAAACTATCTAGAACTTTTCATTTTCTTGTCACTTAAAATTGAAAGATATAGATCGTATTTTAACACACTTTGCATTTAAATGTCTTAGATTGTTCAATGCCAGGAAATACAAAGTCCAGGTCATTCATACCTGATAAATTCAAACTATCATGAGCAATCGGTCACGTCCCCTCATGCCTAACTCCACTCAGAGAGGTTCCCAGAGCATTCGGGACCCTCTAGGTCAGCTCCCCTTTATTTTGACTCTTCTCACATGAATACCTCCTGCTCTTTCACCTCTTTGGCCTTCAACTCCAACTGACGCCATGGAGAGATTGGAGTTGGACACCTAACTGCTGCCTCGTCCACTGAAGTGGCTGAAGCAAGAAGGAAGGAACTGACCACGACTTTCATTTGACCTCAGCTGTGACCAGGATCCTGGTCAGAACAGCACAGCAGGAAAACCCCAGCAGGTGGCTCAAACAAACATTTGTTTTGGGGGTGTTTGGCACCCAACTGAATAGTTGGCTAAGCAAGTAATTTTGAAGTCAGAGTTTTTAACCTACAGAAAACAAACCATTACATGCAAATGACATTCGCTAGTCAGCAATCACTTTGTGATTCTTAAACAGCAGTAGAAAGACCTCCTAGTGGAAACTAACCATAAGTTGAAAGACATTATCATGTGAGTCTTAATTTAATAAAACTGATTTCCTTGTAATTTTTAATTCTGTACTTTTCATAATCTCTTACCTGTCCCAAATTATTGAGGCTGTGCTAAAACATCATGCCTGTTCTCTGCACCAGCTCCCATGAATTCTGGAAAGGAAGCTTGTGTTTCTTACCGGAAGTGGTGCTCTGTTGACTCTGCATAGCTGATGTTCCTGCACCTCGACCCAGTGTTGCAAAGAAGGCCCTGGACAAAGGGGAAAACTCCCTGACTGGGCAGATCACGGGGCTGCAAGTAACCTGGATGTAGGTGCAAGGGAGAAATGAGTCCATACAACTGGTACCAGAAGTGGAATACCTACTGAGTTAGAAAAGTAACATATAATATCATATATTGTATTATTAATCCTGCTAGTAATTTCAAGGAGATCTGAGCACTGAGGCAAAAAAAAAAAAAGGGGGGGAGAGAAAGAAACCCTTTACATATATCTAACACCTTTCCCCCAGGATCTGTACTCACTATTCGAGGTAGAATGGCTGTGTGGCCACACCTGTGTGACTTGGGGTGCATTCCTGCATGCCATCCTCACCACCACCACCACCACCATCCTCATCTTCACCACCACCATCATCTTCATCATCATCATCACCACCATCACCACCACCGTCACCACCATCCTCACCATCACCACCACCATCCTCACCATCACCACCTCCATCATCTTCATCTTCATCATCATCACCACCACCATCACCACCATCCTCACCATCACCACCACCACCTCCATCACCACCATCACCACCATCCTGACCATTACCACCATCACCTTCACCATAACCACCATCACCACCACCACCACCATCGCCACCACCACCTCCGTCATCACCACCATCATCACCACCTCCGTCACCACCACCATCACCATCACCACCATCACCACCATCAGTAACATGTTGGAAACTGAAATGTATCTCTGAACCTTTTACCTCTTCCTCTACTCTTCCTGTATTTACAAATGGCACATAGACACATGCCCACGTTGAGGCAGCTTCATTAGAAAAACAAATCTATCTGCTACATTGAGCAAACGTGTGAGTATCATTTACAAGAAAAAAATGTAAACTGATGCTTACTGGCACTTACCCCAGAAATATAGCTACTGTGATATTACAGTGGAACCCTAGCATACATTCCCCTCAAAATTCAGAGTTTTTAAAGAACAGAAAACAGAGTGCTGCATTTTTTAATCCAGAGATTTGTAATAAAAGTGAAACTTACAGTTGTCTCTGTGTCTGGGAGGCTCTTGAAAACGAAGTACTATCAGAATCATGAACAGGATGCACGGCCAGAAGAACTCAGCAAGGGAAAGGACCTGGGGAGGTGGTCGGGGAAATAGTGCTTGAGGAAACTGCAAAGCATGGTGGGATACTGGCCACGCCAGGCCTCCTTTAATGGAGGTCATGTCACCCCTGCTACCATCTCTGAGAACAATCACTGGAGACAGGGGCCCACAGGGAAGGCCCAGGTCACTTGTCACCATGTCCGGACCCACAACTGTGTCACTACTTTTCCTTCTCCCACCAGACCTGGCTTCTGTTCTTTTCCTTTGTCTCTACATTTTTATTTATTGCACACTTTGTGACGTTAAAGAAAGAAATAACTTCATCTATATTTCTCACTCCAACAGACTATTTTTATTTTTCTAATTTCTTTAACATCCCTGACTGTTCCATCTACATAAGTATTTTGCAGAGCTGGTGGTGGCCCAGGCTCACCTTCATTTTATGAATATTTTCTCATGTTGCCATCTGAGGTTCACAACTATCATCTTACTGGTTGCGTAACGTTCTTACCGAAAGGATATACCATAGCTCACATTGCTCTATCAGCAAATTTTTTATGTATAAATAGTTTTTCTGTTGAATTATTTTCTTGAGATTGGAACAAACCCCTAAAACTCAGATTATTGGAGTGCGATCTCTTGACACAGACTACAAAAGAGCTCCTCATAAAAATTACAATAATTTGCATACCCCTGAGTTTTCAAAGTCAAAGGAAAGCAACTGCCACTGATGCGAGGAATTTAATTACTTGGGAGAGAAACGCCATCTACAAGGGGTAGCCTAGTGAACAACTACTAATAGAAAATCCTCAATAATCACAAGGTTATTTTTACTGTCACCATCCTCCCCTTATTTTTATGGTGGATAATGTTCTTCTAATGACTGCTGCTCACACCATTTTACAAATACGCAAGTTCACAGCCAGACAGAAAACAGCCAAGGCCTTCTGTAATGCACAAACCCTAAACACCTGCGGGGGAGGGAGCTAAGGACACTCAGTCGGCCACCGAAGAGGGCGCCTTCCTCTTTCAGATTGCGACTTCCAAAGCTTTGAACTAAAACGAACTTCTAGTCACGTTAACTCCTTCGCTCTTTGAACCACTGTGGCCATATCCTGCCTGTCCCAGAGCTTCCCTGAAAGGTCCAGCAAACAGATCTACAATAAACGTGACCAGGTGAGTGTGTGTGGCCTGGAACCATCAAGGCAAAACACCGGCAGAAAAGACCGTTTCAATCCACGGTATCATTAAAGCAGAAAAGAAATCGCTGTCTTCAAAATTGTTCAGGAGGATGCATTTCTTGTGCCAGAAAGGGCATCGTTAAAATAAGTTTTCTGAAAAAGTGCTGAAATCAAATACTATCCATCCTGGTAACAGAGGATGTGTCTGCAAGGGGTCGTCCTCTGGTTCACAGGATTATAATTAAACCAGAAAGAAAGACCAAGAACACTCAGAAGACCATAGTTCATTGAAGTCCTTTTGTTCACTCTCTGTAATAAATTAGTCATCTCTTGGGGCCTGGGGATAAGACAGCAGCAGGGGAGGATTCCAGAATTAATTCTGGCCGAATACAAATGGGTAAAATAGAAAACATACTGCAAATTACACTATGCCTTGATACCATTAAGAAAAAGAAATACGTAAGGGCCGGCCGAGTGGCTCAGTTGGTTAAGAGCTCACGCAAGAGTTTGAGCTCTGAGCAACAGCGGTTTGAGTCCAGCCCGAGCTGAGCAGCTGCTGAGCTGCCAACAGGTAGCAGGATGGCTCAGCTAATAAAAAGAAAAAAAGAAAAGAAAAAAAATACGTAATTAATTTTTGGGGTTTTTTACTTTAATAAAATATAACTATTTTTTAAGACAAAGAGGTATACACAAAATTGTTTATAGACCCAAGACTCGTATCACGACTTTGACACTATAAATAAATATGTCTATGGTTAGAAAATTCAAAAAATACAGAAAGAATACAGTCATTCTCCCAAAGGACAAATTATCTGAACAATTTTCTTAATTCATTTTTAAAAACACACACATATAAGCGTAACTAATGTTTTTGGAATCAATTTTTCACAGCAGCACTTACAGTTCTGCCTCACTGTTTTCAAATACTACATGATAATCTATCATAGAATTTCATTTATTTAACCAATCACCTAATTATAGAAATTTGTATGGTTTTCTGTTCGGGGCCAGTGCTATCATGAGTTTTCTGTCTGACTGATTTTTGAAAGTGTATATGTGAGGGATCGTTGTTAAATCAGATTACTGAGTCAAGGTGTATATGATTTTTAATCTGGACAGATATAATAAAAATGCCCTCAATATAGGTTCAGCCAGTCATTACTCACACCAGTCACCTCTTAATAGCACCTGAGATTAACAAACTTTTAAATTTCTGTAAAAGTTTTGTCAAATTGTTATGTAAAAACAAAATAACATTTATTGGGCCGGCCGAGTAGCACGATGGTTAAGAGCTGGCTTGGGAAGCCAGAGGTCCCCGGTTCGGATCCCACATATGAGGGCCAGTGACACTGCCCTCTACAGCTAAGATGCTGAACAACAGCTCAACCTGGAGCTGGGCTGCCGTGAGTCGTAGGTGACGGCGTAGGCTGCAGTCCCTGTGGCAGTGGGTTGCCATGGGCTACCGTGTGTAGCCAGCAGCCAGCGTGAGCAGCCCTCAAGAAGCCGGCGACTAGATCTGCCTCACCCAGGAAGAGCGCAATGATGGTGCCAACTTGGGCCAGTGAAGCAACGTCCTCCTCAACTAGACTGAAGAACAAAAGGACAGCAACTTGTCTGTTCCCCTTCCCCCAATTCCCCAGCACTGTTCCCATCCCCCCAATTCCCCAATAAAAATCTTAAAAAAAAAATAACATTTATTTACGATCAAGCATTTTTCATCAGTTAAGTATAGTAAATCCTTGTCTGTCAACTCCCTGTTCCCTCCCATACCCATTTTTCTTTCTTTTTTTTTTTTTAACTGTTCTGTAAATCATTGTTTCCCTTTTTTGTTTCTTTTTTTTTAATTTAAAGAACTCAGCCTTTTTTTGCTTCAGGTATTGTAAATATTGTCTCCAATTTTTTATTTTCCTTTTTATTGTCTAATTATTTTATGCAATCAATTTATCAGTATTTGTATTTATGGCACCTGTGTGTGTTTTTTCTGCACAGAAAGACCATAATTTAAAGGACCCTGTCAAGACCAAATGAAAATAGTCAGCTAAAGCTGTGAAATTACAAATATTTTTTAATCTAGTCATAAAATCAATGGTAAATCTCCAGTTTCAAATGGAAACATCATTTAAAAAAAAATAAAACTCTACATCTTATAATTGAGAAGTTTCTCTGAAGACATTAAAATAAAAATGAACTCTAAGCCTAAAAAAATTGTTTTTAATTTACAAGCCGATCACGAACCCTCTGAAAAGCACAAGTAGGAAAATCTCTCATTGTTTCGAATTTGAAATGACCGCATTCGGAAGAAGTGTCCAGGCGCCCAGTTCTGCTGTGTCACTCACTGTCCACTGTGAGTGAGTCGACTTCTCTGCAGGGGCCCAAAAGCAGCCTTATCTTTCTCATCATATTTTTGTATCATGTTTTTCTTCTCGTGTGTCATTATTATGCTTGAATCTTACCATTTTTAATGTTACCCCTATTAAATGGGAATGTCCTCCCAACCCCAGGAAGGGACAGAGAAAACACTGCGTTTGTGCTGTCCAGGTGCCCGGGACTAGAGACTGCTGCCGGCTCTGCTCCCGAGAGAAACTGTCACCTGGCAAACCTACTAAGTGCATCCACAACCTCAGCCGCCCTTCCAAACTACCACGAAGCCCTCTCCTTCCAGCAAAGAGGCTCAGGACAGGAGATGGTGGAAGTGTCCAGCTCTACACACCCAAATTTCACGTCCGACAGCACATCTCACATGATTCTCAGTACCTTCAACACAGCTGAGATGCAGTGGCATTTGGGAGACTTCAACAATACATATCTGTGAACATATACATACAAAGGACCCCTGGTAAGACGGCATAGGAAAGAAACCTCCCCACAGACTTCTTTTCCCAGACAAAATGAGAGGGGGGAAAGAAAAGAAAAAAGTCAGAGGAGAGAGACACAACTTGTCTTTACAAAAAACAAAAACAAGCAAACAAACAAAAAACTCCAAAATGTCAACAAACAAAGTTTCCAGGGCCAATCAGACAAGCCTTCTGTGGCTCAGTCCTGAGCCCCCAATCTCCAAAGCCTTAGCGATGTACCCCACAAGCCCGGGCCTCTCCCCAGTACCTACATCTGTGGGGGTAAGAATCCCAGATCTCCTTATCTCCTTCTCCTGAGATTGGAGCTGGGAAGTGGCTGCTGGAATGATCAAACGAAACACGGGAAGAGAACAGGGAGACCGCCTGCTGGGAAAGCCTCCAGGGACTCCCAGAAAAATGTGAAAAGAATCCGAAGTTCGACAATAATTTCCCCCAACTCACTGGAGTAAACGTGGTATAAGACACGTTTCAGATTTTCAAAGGAGAGCACGCAGCCCAGCACTTCTGACGGTGAAATGATAGCACCCCCTCTCATCCCCACTAGCACCCCAGCCATTCTCCCGGCTGTAGAAAACTGGCACCTGCGGGATATGCTTCGAGATCACAGGAGAGTTTGGAGGAGAAATCAGACAGGTCTCAGATTTTTTTTTTTAAGTCAAGAACAAATCTACACCTGGGCTGAGCTGTCTAAGTATGAATCAGATTAAAAGAAAGAGTAAAACAGCTAGCTAAACATTCTGGAGAGAAGCAAACCAAAATAGCAAAAGAAAGCCATAGCGCGTAACTGGGAGAGAAACACCTCATATAAAATGAGAAATTTCTTTATAACTGTTTCATAAAGGACAATATAACCAAGAACAAACATTCACAAACAAGCGCTCAAAGATGATGATAAATGACTGAAAAGGGAGTTTGCCGATCTAAGGGGAAAATAAAAAAATCATCACTGTGCTCCGGAGTCTAAATCATTTAGAAACCACAGAAAGAGAATAGA